TTTGCGATATTCTTCAATGTAGCCTTGATTCACTACGATAATTATATGCCTTCAAGTAAAGAGATTTTTTTGCTCAAACAAAACTCCTGCAACAGTGTGAAAATTTGTGCACTGCTGTGATATTTTCGATGGATATATTGTTCTCGTTGGCAGTGGTTGGGTGATTTTAATGTTATCGGTATAATAACTCTTCCTCGGTGGACTTGCGTTTCCTCATGAACGATTATCCTAAGGCACGTTAATAATACAAATCTGTGTCGACACCTTAATGTAAAAAAATTATATGATTTTCAACGCCATTATAGTTCAGCGGATAACTCGTAAATTTAAATCTTCCTTCAATCATTCATCTTTCTTTCAATTATCAGCCATTTTTGTTTAGGACCAATGGAGAGGGACAAAAAATAATCTTTAGAAATTGAACACATTTCTGTAACATTTTTCGACTTCAACTTTGTCAAGTATCATTATTCTTAATCTTAACATGCCTAATAATAATTGAAAACATTACCTTAATCAAACTCTACCGACGATAATTATAAAATCATAGAATTTGTTGGCACAGCAATAAAGGAACATTATACATTATGACAAAGGCATTCAAAAGAAATGAAGAGAATAATAACGAAAGCCCTGGGGGCGTTTCACAAAGCCTTTTTTCAATCACAAATGGCAAAAATCAGTGACAAATCTGATGATAACCAATCAGAAGCAAGGATATCAGTAGCTTATAACACTATCATTTGTCACTGATGACAAGTTTAGTGAAACGCCCCCAGGACTTGGCCTGATTAATGATCCATGCAGGGTATATTTAAAAAGATACAAACCATTTATTTTTAAATAGCTTTTAATACATAAAAATGTTAGTAATACAGACTAGGTTGCCATGAAATGCGATAAATGTAATTCGTATTGACAAATAATTTTATATCGAAATATAGTAAATGTCAAGTACTTCATTAGAATCGGACCCTCCAAACTTTAGTTCATTAAAAGCAACTCTGTGTGCACGCCATCTACGACCATTGTCCATTCAAAAGTACCTCAACAGTGCTATCTGTCGCTGTGAGTTATCTGCAAATCAGAAGAGAGAGAGAGAGAGAGAGAGAGAGAGAGATGGGGGGGGGGGGGGTTCCCTTTCACAGTCTTGCAAAAAAACATCAAATTATCAATAGGAAGTTGCATTTTAAACTATTAAACTTTATCATCATCATTGACAACAACTACACATTGAACTGTCCATAAGCCAAACAATTTTCGAGGGGCCAGTGTGCGAAACTCCTAATTACTCCCCATGGCAATATTACTCTTTTCTCTTTCTCTTTCTCTAAAGCTCCTACCCCCTCCCCCTCTCTCTTTCTCTCTCTCCTTCTCTCTCTCTCTCCCTCTCTTTCCCTCTATCTTTGATTCTTCTTTTTCGTCATATTTTTCTCTCTGAGTCACTCTCATTCGCTATCTCCTCTGTCTTATTGACTCTCCATCTCTCTTACCATTTTGTTTCCATTTTTCATTTATTCTTCTCTTTCTTCCTCCCCGTCTTCGTCGTCATCACCACCCCCCCCCCCCCCTCTCTCTCTCTCTCTCTCTCTCTCTTTCTCTCACACTCTCTTTCCCCTCTCTCTTTCTCTCTCTCTCTCTCTCTATCTCTCTCTTCCCTCCCCATTATTTTATTTTATATTGCCTATGTTCGCTCTTACTCCACTTGGAGATAGTTATTATAACCAGGAATGTTCACCCTTTTAGCTACCCGGCCATTGTGCTCTAATTAGATTCCACTTTGAAATGAATGTCGCCGGCACTCTCCAAGTTAAAATATTTTCATTTTTCCGGAACTTCACATTCTTTTCTCAATAATAATAATAATATTTAATTTTTATATAGCGCTTAATACAAATGTCTCTAAGCGCTTTACAAATATATACTATTACCCCGGTCATTGGATTCAGTACTTGCCCGCACACACTGTGTGCACAATCTCCACTCCCTGGGGAGCATTCCAGCCGGGCGTTACTTGACGCTCACAAGCTGTTTGACCAACAATAACGGTCGCATCCTACCGGGTACCCATTTAACACCTGGGTGGAGAGTAGCAAGTGCAGGTTAATATCTTGCCACTTGTTCATGTGGAAGTATATGTCATGTAACATGTGCTAAAGCACAAATTACATACATACACTTCACCACGATTTCACAATATACGCATTTACTGAAACCTGGTTTAAGGGAGACCCACATTCATTTTATAGTTTGCCTAATTACAAACTTATTCAAAAACATAGAATTGGTCGTGTAGGCAGGGGTGTGTGTATGTACGTCAGGGACAATGTCACCTTCAAACCAAGGACGGATTTGGATTGTTGTACTTCAACTATATTGATACTGTTTTCATTGAAATCGTAAAGGAAGGGAAGAATTTCATCGTTGGAACTGTATACAAATCTCCCGATACTTGTAGTGCAGAGTTTAATGACCATCTTGAAGAATATCTTGGTGAAATTAACAAAGAGAATAAACAATGTTATACTGCTGGAGACTTTAACTTTGATTTACTTAGTTACGCCCTTCATTCGGATACCAATGCATTTATCGATACAATGTACTCCTCCTCTTTTCTCCCACTTATCACGAAACCAACTCGTGTAAGTGTAACAACTAACTCATCGTTTGATAATATCTTTACAAATGTTTTGAATAAGCCAATCCTGCCTGGTATTTTGTATTCAGATGTGTCTGATCACTTTCCCATCTTTCAAGTAACGAACTCTTTACCACCAAATTACCACACCCACTTGAATAGGAACAATGCGAGTCAAGTTAAACACCGAATAGACTTAAACGCATTGTGTGAAGATTTAGCATTGTATGATCATTGGTCTTTGGTAACATCCAAAACCAATGTCAACGAAGCTTACCTTTATTCAAGATTTAAAAAATACCTGGTAAGGATAGACGTAGATCATCAAGAAAACCCTGGATTACAAAAGGCATTCTTAAATCCATTGGTAGAAAGGAACACTTGTATATAAGCGGTATTTAAAACTGAAAAACCCCTCCGTGAAGAAAAAGTATACATCTTTCAGAAATAGGCTTACTCACATAATTATACGTGTCTCCAAAAAGAACTACTTTGCTGAAAAGCTTGAATCATTTTGTATTCAAACTTTTAATCATCGTCAATGATATCATTCTGGCATTTCCCTTTAATGTTTTACTTTCTTTTCTGTGTATTTACTACAGCTAGATTTAATATTATTTGATAGATTGAGTAGATATCGAAGCCTGCCGTTCGTAACCGAGAAGTCACCACATTCAAGTAAACTTGAACGAATCAATCAATGTCAAAGAATTGATTTATCATCGCTCTATAATTAATCATTTAACATTTTAACATACCTGCATTTGTATCCATCACGAATGAACATTTAGACAGTAGATATCTTAAATATTCGTTTTGATGGCTTACCTCCCCATTTCTTTCTTCTTGTTTGATACTGATAAAATGTTCACTTTGTCTTTATCAAAGCCCAAGATTATATTCATATTTTCTTTATGCAAGGGAAATAGAGAGAAAGAGAGAGAATATATTAACTGAAAATTCTCGTGTAATACCATGAATTGCGTTCTTTTCAATATGATTCGATTCGCTGCCAATATTCAGAATCTGAATATGGTGAATCCACTTAATACACCAACGCTGTTAACCGCATACATTGTTCCAACCATAGACCATATGCACATACACCATAATGATCAAATATGGAAAGTTTCCTAATGAAATTTGAATAAAAAATCAAATGTACCATATGCACTAAGAGGTTTCCATTAAAATTATAAATTATCTGTGTCTGGCTTAGCACTTGTTTCTGACTTCTGAGGGACCAGTCACCAAAGATCCAAAATGTCACAGGTGCCTCGAAAAGAGTGCATGGTATATTTGATTTATATCCTTCATCAAGCAATAAGATACTATGTTAAATGCTATAGAGCAATACATCAGAAATCAAGTATCAATTCACACCTTTGTCCAAAATACACACAAACACACACACACACAAACACACACGCGTACACGCACACATCAATACAGGGTGGCCGAAATCAAACGGACTAGCATACTTTCAATAATGGGAGGTAGATTTCCTTGGTACCAGTAAATAAGGAATTTCTTAAAAAGAAAAAGACATGATACCAAACTTGCCCCAAAAGTGTTTGAATGCTCATTTTTCTTGACGCTTTTTTTGTGAACTATGTCGAAGACATCAAAACGGCTCCTTGCAGAAATTGTATTATGCCTGCCAGAAAGTGGGCTCTTGGGCAATCTGTAATTAACGTAAAGGCCCGGTCACACAGCCTTTCGCGTCTGTATCGCGGGTAAAATTTCGCGATTTTTTTTTGCCCGCGGTTGCCCGTGGTGGAAAAATGTGCAAAATTGGCTTACCCGCGGTTTACCCGTGGTATGCCCGCGGAACAGACGCCGGCGACTGTTCCGCGTCCTTATCGCGGGTGAAGCGCGGCGGTACCGCGGCCTACCACGCTTACACGCGGTACACACGCTAATGCACGTGATAACAACGCGGTACAGACGCGGAACAAACGTGCTATGACCGTGCTCCACCCGCGATTACCCGCTAAAATTTCGCGTCCAATTCCGCGTGTAACCACGTCTTAACCGCGGCCGTAGCACGTCCTAGCACGTTCGTTCCGCGTCTGTACCGCGTCTTTACCTCGTGTGTACCACGTGTACCGCCCGCGATTACCCGCGGTCTAAATTTTTGGGCAGCCCAAAACTTTTTCGCGCGGCCAACCGCGTGTGAATTTCTTACCGCGTGTAACGACGGGTAAAGTACGGCTGTATCGCGTCTTTATCGCGACCTCAAAGCGTCCAACAGCGTCTGCTTCACGGGCAGAAATTTTTGGCCGTGATTCGGCCGCGATACGCCCGTGGAGGGCTGTGTGACCGGGCCTTAAGATTGTACTCGAACATAATAATCCACACATATTTTTTCAGACGTTTTTAATGACCTATTAAACACGGAGATGAAAATTGTACGAATCGTTTAAAACGCAGTTTCATTGGATGAATTAGACAAATTTGAACTCCTATCTTGCATCACAATAATTCTCCCTAAGCAAAAAAACCCTCGACCAAATTTGCCAATCTTGTTATCATTTTTTCATGTTAAAAAGGAAATCTCTTTCCGCCTTTACAAGTGATTTCGAGCCCATATTAATGGAAGTATCCTAGTCCGTTATATTGGGCCACCGTGTATTAAAAAGAACGAAACATTGAATAAATTTTGAAAGGAAAATGAGAGAATAAAGGTCGGTAGGTGTACTCATGGCTCCCCATAGGACAAAAACCATGAAGCGAAGAATCGATTCTATATGCACTTTTGTTCTTCCATTTCATTTCACGATAAAACAATAATCTACAGTATAATTTTTTTTCTTCTTATTTTTGTCGCCGTGTATGTTAACACTGATAATGTTATTTTTCGAGTCAGGTGATCCGGTGACCGTTATGCCCATTCTTTTAAGAAAAAAAGGTTTATTCGTTACTCCATTACCTATGAAGTGCAATACAATTATCTTCCAACAATTCGATAGATTGTTTATCACCTCAGATTGTTGTTAATCAGATTTACATTTCGATTGGCTTTCACTCGTATGACTGAAACACCTTCCAAGAAACAAAAAGGGGACGTAGAATGCCAAACACGTCATCAACAACATAAATAACCCAATATCAATCAAATGATACTGGATGAAAGACAGGTCATGAGCCGGAGATCGCATGTAATTTCCGCCATGTTTAATCACATGTTGAATCCAGAATGCAGCTCGGTCAGCTGGTCCCAATGGTCGATCTCTAAAGATGGCGGACAGGCGTTTGGCCGTGGCGTCGTACGAAGAATTCGCGAGGACCTCCTGAAGCTGATGCTGCAAGTAATCGGCACTTATGTTATCTTTGCTTATCATTAAACCAAGACCACGTGATAAAATTCTTACTGTGACGTCAATATGGTCTCCGAATATGGGGATGACGACCATAGGCACACCATGGTAGAGAGCCTCAAGGTATCCATTGTTACCAGCGTGAAACAAAAAGGCCTTTGTCTTAGGATGCCCTAGGAGGTCGTTTTGAGAAATCCAGGGCATTGCTTTCACATTTTCTGGAAGACTGTACAATGTTGGGTCTTTGATCTGCATAACAACCTTCTGCGGCATTCGGGAAAGGGCTTCAAGGATCATCTTCATGAGATCCTGTCTGTGAGTGGTGAAGGACGCGAAGTAGGATCCCATTGAGAACACGACCACACCATGATCACCAGAACTCTGCATGAAGTCTTCCAGCTCTGGTTCAAGAGGCATGGCTGCCCGGGCTGTGAGGCCACCTACAGCGATAACATTGGGCATCAGAGGGAACGGAAACTCTGTGGCAAAATCGCAATTGGTCAGGAAGAGGTCAATGTACTCGTGCGAACCGGATAAAGAGGCCATATTTGGATGCAGGTCGAATTTTTCAACCGTCTGTTTATAAGCGTTCCTCATGATAAACTCCATGATGGAAGTGAGGACAAGCGAATACGCGCTGTTGATCATCCTCTGAAAGAACGTCATGGATGAAGAGTAACTGGTGTAACTTGCAGGCTGATAGGCAGGGTTGAACGGTGATCCAGCCATCAAGAACATTGTAGACACAGGTGCCGTCGCCGAAGAAAGAACCATGCGGACATCAGCAGCATTCAGGTGTCTTTCGATGTAGGATTTGATGAATATGCTGCATGGCCATGGTAGCTCGAAGACTATGGCGTCCATGGTTGCTAGTCTGCTCATCATTGCCTTGTCTTCCAGGACTGATTCACACATATCAACCTGAACTCTTCTCCCTATGCTGTAGGTCTGCAGCAATTGAATGAATCCATTGCTCCCTTCCACTCCTATCTGTGCAAAACCGCGAAAGAACTCATTCGCATTCAATGTTTCGTCGTTGTAATGAAATATTTCGAATTCGAAGAGCCTGGAAAGCTCAGGATCCCTTGCCCGATACGAGTATTCCTCACTGATTAGAAAGGTGACACTGTGTCCCTGTTGCACTAAACTTCTTCCGATTGGAACCAATGCTGTGAAGTGGCTCCCCTCTCCCAGGACCCCGGACATAAGAATCTTGGCGGACTCCACTCTTCCCGCCCAAAATACTAAGAGGTGGAAGAACATGGAACACCACATGACTCTATTTTGATTTTAGAGTTTGAGGCCGAACAGTAGTTCTGTAGTTACAAATGAGATCCGATGAGATAACTCCGGTCACATTGGACACAATTTGACGATAAAACTGTAAGATAGAACAAAACAATGCTATTAATAGATGCTCGAGTCTTCGCATTTTTAAAAGTTAAAATGATAGCAATCATCCTTTCGTTTTACCAGGAAACATGTATTATTATCTGCTTCAAAAGCTTCTCAACTATGGTGTTTGATCAGTAAGCCTGTTCAACTCATTGACATTAACGCTGCCTATGAGAAAAGATATCACGGTAAGAGCAGTGTGTAGGCTAGACCTAAATGAATGCAGTCTGTTAAAAAAATTAATAACCAGAGAAAGAGAATCCAACAGTTTCAGTCGTTCCATTTCACATAGGATGACCGAAATAAACATTACAGCATTGCTATTCCCATCTGGTTGCACTCGACCTTTTGTATATATTCCAGTCATCCCTGACTTGAATCATATATCCTTGTAAAGATACATGTACAACAAACCACTGCGTTTTTGCAACATCGTATATAGTTACACTCTTCATGGTATAAGAAGCTTTTTGAAATTGATATGGATACCAGTATATTTTTCATCATCGAGCGAGAAGTGTCAGTATATCATATCACTGTCAACCAATATCTTCATGTTGCTCACTTGTCATATAATGGGAATATATACCCACAATGAATTCGATGTTATCTTTCCTTTCCTTAATCGTCACACATTCCTTTGTCCTCACACAAGCACAAATCCGTCAGTATAAAATTATACTAATATTTTAATAAACTAATATTCACGTATATTTATTAAACTAAATTTTAATCAAAATAATAATTTTCCTGTTGCGTAGATGAGTTTACACCAAAGAAACATTCGATACTACCTTCCTTTTTAAAATTCTCATGTGACTTATTTTTTTATCGTTCATCATTATTTTTTTTGTGCGTGTGATAATAAAAAAAAATCCCCAAGCAACACCATGAAAAAAAGGGTTCGATGGGCTATTATATGAAAACATGCATCGCTAATGCAATATTATACTGATACATTGTACAAATGGTATACGCAAATGGTTAGGAGGATTTTGTTTTCGTCAGAAAACTAATAGAAAAGTAGTTGGTACTTACCATTTATGCGTCCTCGGTGGAAGCTTTTTGGTTTAAATCTGTGACAGTCGGTATACAAGCACCAATCTGTTCTGTTCTTTTTATTGCGTTCCCGGCTTTCCACTTATCTTCTTTACTCGTACAGACTTAACATGACATCAACGAATAAAATCACGATACGCATGATGCTCTCAGAGAAAGAGCTTAGAATTCGCAAAAGCTTAGAAATCGCAAACAAAATAGATCAAGACATTTATCTCTCTTTTGGTGCAGCCAAAATTATAACATACAATGTAGGAACAAGGAGTTACCATCAGTGCTGGTAATTCTTTGATAAGACGCTACGCATGCCTTTTTGGGTGAATGCATGAGTGTTGGCGTGGGCGTATGACTCTGCGCCCTATAATAGAATACTCCATTTAAATGTGCATTCTCCTGGTTTATTGGAAGAGCCACTATAAAAGTTCGGAGCGCTTGGCGCCCGCTGCCTAGAGATCACTGGAGCGATGATGGAAGATATTCGTGACTTTTATCCAGCATGTATCCTTTTTTGTTAATTACGAAACCAGTCCAGATTCTGTCCATTTGTATATATTTTGTAATCGTCAATCATCTATATAGTACCGAAACTGTGACATCTTACAAATCTATTTTTAGAATTTCTCAATTTGAATTTCATTTTCAAATGAATTGGCACTCCCCTTAAAATATCCTGTATACGCACTTGGTAGTAATGTTATAAACCAGAGCAAAATAACAGTGATTTCCTATTGAAATCTATTTATTCGGATGGTCATATCTTAGCCTATACTTAACATATTTAAGGTGCGAAGGTGACGGGAAGGATATCATGCGAGGGAGCGTAGCGACCGAGCGAGAAGATTTGTTCATATGTATTAGTCTAAACGTTGCACTGTTGGGCCCTCCAAAGCCTAAAAGTGTGTTGCAGTCTTTAGTCAGTATTTGCTTTACATTTTAGGGTGAACTTTTTCAAATTTTCCGGAGGTAGACGGAAAAAAAAATCGAGGGGGACGTGCCCCCCGTCCCCCTTCCGTTCCCGGGATCGCCGCCCCTGTATGACGATGTTTCATTCTCTCAGCTCACATGGAAACAGTCAAGGCAGTTGACTAAAAAGAAACACGCTATACATTATAAGCTTTAATACCCCGCATTATCATAAATATGGTGAGCTCGTTATGTCACTGGGAATTAAATGAACTGTTCTTTTCTTCTTCGAATAAGTGATCTCAGTCGTTTACGTCAGCAGTTCACCATCGATATACGAATGCCTCAATTCCTTCTATATATCGTCATGTTCGTACGTTTTTCATTGTATGCCTACAAAATGATACATTTATATAGTATAGGCGGATCCAGTGGTTAAAAGGAAAGGGAGAGAAAGAAAGGAAGAAAGAAAAAGAACAGAGAAGAAAATGAAACGAGATAACAAAGGGAATGGGAAACGAAGGAATCTGTTCGATTTCAGAATAAAGTAATATTAATAATAATTTTAATATGATAACAAAATGATATAATAAAACATTAATTTGTCCATAATTTCAATTCAAGTCTAATGAGGGATTGAGAATAGCCCCCCCCCCCCCCACACTCCGAGAACGGAGGGACATCGGCCCGCATTGACTTTACACAACGGACTTAAGGGGGGGGGGGGGGTGCTCTCAAAAGGGAGGGAACATGCATACGCGTACCCTGAGTGGGTGGGGGGGGGGGTAGCTCTCCGCTTTCCCAAGTGTATAGTTGATATGAATTTTGAAATTACCGCGCCTCCCATGTCCCGTTGAAAAAAACTGGATCCACCATAGTAATGTACTAATCACACTTTATTAACAAAAACAATGTTTTCATGAGCATCACCACCTTCGATTTTTTTTTTCTTAGGGCGAGTGGTAATCGTCTGAATGACAGATGTTTATTATGTAAGTCTTATAGAGGATTCATCATTGTTCTATTCGATATCTCTCTTTCTCTGTCTCTCTCCTCTTTCTTTCTCGAACCATGTATAATTAATAGGTTTAACGTCATATTTCAATACCCCCTCTCTCTTCATTTCTTTCTTTATCGATATTTTAATTAAGATTATGTCTTTATTTCTGTCTGTCCTCTCTCTCTCTCTCTCTCTGTCCATCTCGTCTCGTCTCATCTCTATCTTTATAACAATGTCTTTATCTCTCTTTCTATATAAGTTTTTTTCTCTTTTTCCCTTTATCTTCCTATCTCTAATCCCTCTCTTTTTCTCTCACTCTACAACAATGGATCTCTTTCATTCGCGCTCTTTATCCGTCTTTCTTCTTATTAGCATTACTCTAATCCCATAACTCCCCCCCCCCTCTCTCTCTCTCTCTATTTTCTATCTCTCTTTTTAATCTATGAATATATTCTCTTTCTTAGTCTCTCTAGCATTCATCGTTCCTTGTCCTTCATCTAATAATTTTATTTTTGAATTCACAAAATAGACTAACGTAGGATAAATAATAACGGCTCTCATGAAGTAGAAATCATTTGATATTTCAGGTTGTATAACCTTTCACTGACCAATCACTGACTGTATTCAATTACTAACATCATTTTACAATTATGTCAAATACCCAGGGATGAAACATTATAACATCGCATGAAATACATAAGAAATCTGCAGTATTAACTATGAAGCTCCAATGAAGTAAGTCTGCGAATTATTATTTATTTAAAAATCACGATCACACAGACTTTCGAGAAAAAAAATCTAGTTTAAGGCATTGTCCACCACCTTTTGAAATGTGCAAACATTACAATGACGTCTTACGTAATCCAAACATGAAATAATGATATGGAATGTACAATAGGGTATTACATTCTCATTTAAATTAATAGCAGGTCATAATATACAACAGATTTCCTGCCAATGTTTTGAATGTTCAACACTGCTAATTTAGAATTTTGCGTGAGGATTGATGGAAAATTAGTAAAACAAAGTGTAGTTGAAGACTGTTAAAGTCAATCGAATTCCTCGATTCCCTTCAGACTGTGAGACATTATATGAATTTAAGACTTCTAAATCTTTGTTTTCTCAATCAAAATACATAACATCTTTACCAAACTACACATAAGAAATTTATTAGAATAAATTGACAGAACTTGAATGCTACTCGATAAGTTTTGATTAGAAACAAACGAACCCCATCCAAAAAATTAAGTTTTTGGTGTTACAATAAAGCTCAGTAATTTTGCTTGTAATTATTATGAACATGGCATGTACCTTTTATTCATTGGCCATGCAATTAAATTACAGATGACAGGTACATCAATGTACCTTGCTCTTGGCAACTTTTGATTTATTAAAACAGCAACTCTTGCAACATTTGCATATTCTATAGAGGAGGTAAAATATGACTACAATGATAGCTATAATGAAAAGTACAACGTCTATTAAGTGATATTGAATGAAAGACAGTTCATGAGCCGGAGATTGCATGTATTCTCCGCCATGTTTGAGTACGTGTTCAATCCAGAATGCAGCTCGATCCGCTGGTCTCATTGGTCGATCTCTAAAGATGGCGGACAGGCGTTTGGCCGTGGTGCTGTACGATGAATTCTGGATAACTTCAGAGAGTTTTTGATGGATCAGATCAGCACTAAGCAGTTTCTTGTTTAGCTTGACCCCAAGCCCGCGAGACACAACTCTTGCCGCTACATCGGGTTGGTCGGACTGGAAGGGTATGACCACCAGAGGGACACCGTGGTAGAGAGCTTCCTGGAAACCATTATTTCCACCTTGGTACATGAAGACTCTCGTCTTGGAATGACCCAGAAGGTCATTCTGCGGTATCCATGGCAACGTCTTGACATTCGGCGGAACCTTGTAATCATGAGGTCCCTTCAGCTGCATAATGACCTTCTGAGGGATTCGACTGAATGCATCGAAAAACATTTCCATCAAGTCCGATCTTGTAGATGCGAAAGTGGACACGGAAGTTCCGAGTGAGAACAGGACGACGCCATCTTCCCCAGAACTTTGCATGAACTTTTCCAGGTCTTCGCTTAGAGGTTTCGCTGGTCCCGACGTCAGCCCACCAACAGCAATGATATTCGGCATCAGCGGAAAAGGAAACTCCACCGCAAAGTCTATGTTCATGAGATAGAGATCGATATACTTGTAATAAAAAGAACTGGACATGGCTAAATCAGAATCCAGGTCGAATTCCTCCTTGAAGTCGCTGAAACAATCAAAGACGTAATGCTTTCCCAGAAAGTGAATTAATGCCCAGTTGATGGCGTTTCCCAATCTTTGACCAAACGACATTGATGCAGAAAACCCTACCGCTAAGGTCGGTTGGTAGGAAGGATTGAACGGGGATCCAGCTATCTCGTGCACGTACTGAAGTGGTGACATAGGTGACGTCACTGCAACCCGAATACTTGATGCGTTCATATGCCGCAGTAAATATGACTTCATGTAGATACCACAGGGCCATGTTACGTCAAACACAATCATATCGATTTCTTTCAGTCTGTCCATCAATGAAGTATCGGATAAAACTGCTCTACAAGCTTCTTTGGTCATAAAAAGGTTGTCTGGTAGCAATTCCAAATTCTGGATTACGCTTGTAGTTTTACCGAAGGCAACCCGAGCAGTATTTTCCGTCGTTCTCCGAATGAGCCCCGGATGACCAGGTATAGAAAATGTCTCAAAATGAAAGCCCGCATACGCTGGATTTTCTGCCCTGTGCGAGAACTCTTCGCTGATGAACAAGGTGATGTTGTGGCCTTTTTGCGCTAAACTCCGGGCAATGGGAACCTGGGAAAGGAAATGGCTTCCTTCACCGAATAATCCTGAAAATAGAATATTCGCACAGTTCACTTCCATGGTGCTCACGAGCAGAACGTGCACCAACCCGACAAGTAATACCAATCTCTCCATGTTGATGATATTCTTCACTCACCTCTATAGAGCACGCGCGTGGTTTAATAATGATAACAATAACAGGTCCAAATACAGCGCCGCTATATAATTATGAATATACGTGATATACTGCGCTTGATTTAGAGTACCATATTATAACCCCGGCTGTAGCTGAGCTGCCATAATAAGCCGCTAACACACATTTATCACAATTTCATTGTCATAGACGATAGAGCCCTACATGTACACAGACTTTGACCTCAAAATAATATGCATAGTCATTGAGAATGCGTGCATGACTGTATTCAACACATATAGCAAAGAGAGTTTGAATACCGAGAGTGGTGACTTTAATAACCAAGCACACACACACATTGTAGTAACATGTCGCGATCGAGGTCCGGCGAGAATTCAAGGGTTTGCCTTCATCAAGACATTTCCTATTTTCTATTTATCTTACTTCTTTTGCGTTTGGTTAAGCTACTATGTCCCATTTGCAGGCTGAAAATGAAAAGGTTAAATTTCCAACGGCATTTTAAAGATATCTTTTAGAACTTCCCTCAAAACGAAAGGGCTAGAAAATTGGCTTTAAGGGGGAAAAATAACAACCATAAATTGTCGAATCGACTATAGTGATTGCATTCACTATTAAGTGATAGTCTGATTTATCGGAGAGTGAATATTATTGCATTTACATATTTATATATATCTTTATATTTTTTTTTTTTTTTTACTATGTGCTTAAACGAATTTTCACATTTATATCACTTAATGTTTGATTTCACATGTATTTATTGTATTTTAATGTTTTTATCAATGTCTTTACTATGTGCTTAATCGAATTCTCAAATTTATATCACGTAATGTTTGATTTCACATGTATTTATTGTATTTTAATGTTTTTATCAAATTCTAAAAAAAGTCACACAATTCAGCCTTCGGGTTGCGAGATGATTTGCAATAAAGCAAACCATTTATTTATGTATTAGTGTTATCGGGGCGAAGGGCGAATCCACAGTGTATACCATTATTTTGTCTTTATCTCAGAAGGCATTTAACTATCATTTTTGGTTCAATATCTATACTAAACAACATTTCGATTATACAGTGCGTCCCAGAAAAAACGAAACCGAGAATTATCGATGTTTTATCATAACTTAATCACAATTCTAATTAATAAATGACACATATTTGTAAAGCTTAATTCCTCATCTTTCGTTCGATGCAACTCATATAATGCATATTTCACGCTTGAGTGATGAAAAAACAATTTGAAGAAAGGGTAACAAAAAAAAATCATTTGGCGGGCGGTATCTGAATTTCAAAGAGAAAAATCACATTTCCAAAAAGTTTATTTTCCGCCCTTTTATATGACACCTCAACTATTAAAAATGAGCCAGAAATAACAAACTTCTGATTGTTTAAAGTAATGCTTGCATTTCCGTAATGTTATTAACAAATTCGTTTTCACTGGTTGCCTGCTGTAGCAACAAACAACAAACTCCGTTTCGTTGACGATCAGCCATTCATGAAATCTTTCGTCTTCTTTGATGTTAGGGCAGACAGCTAGCCAGTGAAAACGAATTCGTTTAATGAAATTATGGAAATGCAAGCATTACACTTGATATGGATTAGCACAGTGATGATGCGTGACACCCCTCCCCCCTCCCCTATCATGGTCTATGGATGCCCTTGGATAGTCGGAGACAGCAGGTTCTCTAAGAATGAACAGGTGGCGCTTCTTCCAATTTGTTTTCATGGGTGATCCTGAATTACATATACACTGTTGGTCATAATGGTGGAATAATTATTTTTACCCCAGTTAAGGGAAGGATTTAAAAAAATTATTTATTTCTAATAGATCTAGATAATGGCATACATTCTCAGATTTTATTGAATATTAATTTGCGAGTGTTTGTTTTGCGTGACTGCTTAATCATATGTGTGCTCCTATGCTAATCAGCTAGGGAACCTACGTCCTTAAATCATAATTGACAGTAATGAGGATTAATGCCTCAAAAAAGGGCACTAATATAGCTGATCGACACGATTGTTTGCCTGGGGCCTCACAGTAATGAGACCATTGCTTAGCCCCTGAATCATGACTGTACGCAGTGTTTGCTAGGGTACGCGGCCCCTTCCACAAATCCCCCAAAACGAAGAAAATGCAATAAATTATCAATAATTCATTGCATTTCCCCCCGGCCCCCAACAGGAAAAATTCCTCTTTGTGGCCATGCCTTGAACCATAATGCATGGCCCTACAGAGGAATTTTTCCTGTTGGGGGCCGGGGGGAAATGCAATGAATTATTGATAATTTATTGCATTTTCTTCGTTTTGGGGGATTTGTGGAAGGGGCCGCGTACCCTAGCAAACACTGCGTACAGTCATGATTCAGGGGCTAAGCAATGGCCTTGTTACTGTGAGGCCCCAGGATAAAAATCGTGTCAATCAGCTATATATTAGTGCTCTTTTGTGAGGCATTAATCCTTATTACTGTCAATTATGACTTAAGGACGTAGGCCCCTTAGCTGATTAGCATAGTAGCACACATATGATTAAGCAGTCACGCAAAACAAACACTCGCAAATTAATATTCAATAAAATGTGAGAATGTATGCCATTATCTAGATCTATTAGAAATAAATAATTTTTAAAATCCTTCCCTAAACTGGGGTAAAAATAAATATTCCACCATTATGACCAACAGTGTACATAACTATTCAATCACGTTTATTTTTTTCCTTTTCACAGGAACTTACACAGCGACAGATGCAGCATTTAATTAACTTATAGCTAAGGTACAATATTGTTGTCAAAATAAAAATCAGCAGCAATATCACATCTATCAAATGGTACTGGACGAATGATAAATCATGGACGGGTGATCGCATGTAGCTTCCGCCATGCTTAACGACATGTTCAATCCAGAATGCTGCCCGATCAGGGGCTGTCATTGGCCGGTCTTTGAAGATGGCAGATGCACGCTTCACCCTCTTACTGCATTCTGGATCCTGAAGAGTTTCTGCCAGCTTTTGATGGATGATGTCTGCGCTCAAGCGATTCTTGTTCAATGTCGTGCCGAGGCCCAGTGTCTCAACTTTGACGGCGTTGTCTATCTGGTCACCGATTAAGGGCATGATGACCATAGGAACACCATGGTAGATTCCTTCCAAGAAACCATTATTGCCACCATGGTAAACGAAAAGGCGAGTCATTGGATGACCCAATACATCTTTAAGAGGCAGCCACGACAACATCTTGATGTTTTCTGGGAGTCTTTCAGGGGGATCACCGTGCAGATGAAACAGCACTTTATGAGGTAAGCGGCCGAATGCTTCCACGAAATGATGAACGACGTCTGGTCTTGTTTTAGTGATGACAGAAAAGTTCGAGCCAAGAGAGAAGACAATAACACCATGTTCTGCAGAGCTTTGCATGAAGCTCTCCAGCTCCTCTCCAAGAGGTCCAGCTGGTCGTGCCGTAAGACCACCTACAGGAATGATATTTGGGGTCAAAGAATAAGGAGACTCGACGGCGAATTCAGTGTTGATGAGGTAGATATCAATGTGCTCATGGATCGAGTTTTTCATTCCTGGATCTAGGTCGTATTTGTCTACTATCCTGTGAAAGGGTCTAGAAAACATAAAGTAACTAATACTGTTTCCAAAAAGGTAACCCAACACATTACTGACGCGTTCCAGAAAGGACATAGGAACGGAAAGTCCAGAGACTGAAAAAGGTTGATATGATGGATTGATGGGTGACCCAGCAAGTTGTTGAATGTACGGATTGGTTGAACTAGGAGAAACTACGATACCACGAATAGGGGTATTTCTCTGCTTACTAAGGAACGACTTGATGAAAATCCCACATGGCCACGAAACATCAATGACGACGGCATCCACCGCATCAAAGCGTTTCATAAGCTCAACGTCGCTGAAAATGGCATCGCAAACCCGAGGACTGATGTCGGTAAACCACGATATCAGTACTGACAATTGGCTATACTGGTTATCCTCGAGGGCGAGATCACCCATTTCATCGTTAACCTTAGCAATGTCCTGATCTAAATTCGGACAGTGGTAATATTCGAACTTGAAGTAATCCGTGTACTCTGGTTTAGAGTACTTGCCAGTGTAGATATCACTGATGAGAAATGTTACCTGGTGTCCCCGACTGACAAGACTTCTTCCTATTGGAATCATCGCCATCATGTGACTACCTCCAGTGGCGTACCTATGGGGGGGGCAGGGGGGGCAGAGTGCCCCCCCTGACGGGCTCCAGGGGAAAAAAAGAAAAAGGGGAAAGAAAAGAAAAGAAAGGGAAAGGAGAGAAAAAGAAAAAAGGAAAAGGAAAGAAAAAAGGAAAGAAAGAGAAAAAAGGAAAAAAAGGAAAGAAAAAAGGAAGAAGAAGAGAAAGGAAGAAAAAGGGAAAAGAAAAGGAAAGGAATAAAAATGGGGAAAAGAAATAAAGAACATGGCCGTAAGCACCTGGGGGGGGGGGGCAGTTGACCCCAGATATTTTGAAATCGTACAGTTTTTTTCCTGAAAATGTAGTGTAGGCCTATACCAAATCCTTCAATTCTACTTTTGAAAATGCAAAAGTACCCTCATGACCAGTTCGGTCGCTCGAACTCCCTTCACTCCTTTTGCTTTTGAGATTCTTCGAAAACTTTTAACGCATCTTTCCCCCTTCCCCCATCAGAAAAATATTTAGCATACGGCCCTGAAAAATTAAAACAAATGAAAATAGGAAAATATAAGTGATATAACAAATTTGAAACTCTTCGCTGGCGCGAACTGCTTGCTAGCCTATTTTGTATTAAATGTTTTCACTTCCTCGTCCCCCTGAAAAGAGAAAAGGATTAGTATTGCCTAGAATACAATTGTGCCTGCCCCGACGGGCCCCGACCTGCATTCATGGCAACAATAACACACAATATATGTACCAAATGTTACTAAAAGAGACTAATTCATTTTTCTCGCTCGCTACACTCGCTCGCGAATAAAATGAATAGACATTGCTTTGGAAACAATTGTGCCTACCCTTGACCTGCAACAATATCATTAAAAATGGAAGAGTTTTTTCGCCCTCTCGCCAAAAAGGAATTGAATCGCGTTAAACGCGATTGCGTCCATCCTGACCTGCACCAATAAAAACAAGTTTATTTATTAATTTCTATTAAAAGAGAATTTATTTTTTTGCTTGCTCGCTATGCTCGCTTGCCAAAATGGAATTAACACCGCTAACGTGCCCGCCCCAACCTGTAACAACCAGTTAATAATTATGTACGAAACGTTATTCAAAGAAGTTTTGGTGTGCTCGTGCTCGCCAAAAGGGAATTAACATCACCTTAGACATGATTGTGTAAGCCCTGCCCTGCAACAAAAAAATCTGAAATTTATGAACCAATTATCATTACAAAAATTTTGCTCGCTCGCTACGCTCGCTCGCCAAAATAGAAATAACACCGCTTTTAATAATCACGTCCCTGACATGGAACAATTAAACCAAGTTTATATACCATATTTTCCCTATAAAGAGAAGTGATTTTTTTTTGCTCGCTCGCTACGCTCGCTCGCCAAAATAGAATTAACACCGCTTTTAATAATCACGTCCCTGACATGGAACAATGAACCCAAGTTTTATGTACCATATTTTCCCTATAAAAGAAAAGTGATTTTTTTTTCGCTCGCTACGCTCGCTAGCTCGTGGAATTATGTGCCCACCACTAACCTGCTACAATATCATTAAAAAGAGAAATGTAGGGGGTTGCCTGCCCGCCAAAATGGGATTGACATTGCCTTAAACTCGAGTGTGCCCACCCCCTACCTGCAACAATCACCCTAATACACAATATTGTTCCCGCGCCCTGCATGGGACAATTGAACCAAGTTTAAGTGGCAATTATTAAAAAAGAAGTGATTTTTTTCTTGCTCGCTACACTAGTTTGCAAAAAAATGAAATTAACGTTGCTAACAAGTGAATGTTCCCACCCCCAACTTGCAACAATACCAGTTTAAATACCAAACGTTACTTAAAGATTTTTTTTGCTCGCTCGCTCGCTCGCCAGAAGTGAAAATTAGCATCGCCTTTTTTGTTTGTTTCGGTCGCTTGCCCCCCCTGACGGAGTACCCCAGGTACGCCACTGACTACCTCCCATATAGAAACCCACGATCAACACATTTGCACCATTACAGGATGAAAAAGTTGTCCCGAAGATGAATATGATGGTAAGCAAAAGATGTCCATTCTTGAAAGCCATTGCCTCTGGTGTTTTAGAACTTCACTACTGGAAGCTCTGCTGTTCTATAGACTGGTTTGTGGATTACAGGGGGTCACAAGCCAATTGTTACGGAGAACAATCTATGTTTGCTGGTCGATGCTGCACAAAGCAATGTAGTTCGTGCGCCGCATACGAAATTAGGTCTAGTCGAACACAGAACCGAAAACGCGTATGTTCCGTTTTGTGGTCCGTGCAGGAGTCGGCATCCACGTCGTTCCAAATTGTATTTATTTTCACACCATATTTTCTCGAAAATCTTTCCTTAGAATTGGACTTTGCACGATAATCCGATGAAATGTTTGTCCTGAGTGTGCTCTTTCGACGTTTGGTCTGCGTGAGCATCTGGTACATAGATCATGGTCACTATCGTGCCATGGCTACAGTGGGGGACAAATAGGTATGGGCCCAGTGGCGGATCCAGCCGGCGGGAAGAGGGGGGGGGGGGCCAACCCGTGAGAAAATATTAGTTGCGACTCAGTCAGCCGGTGAATAAGCGGGAGGGGGGGGGGGGGGGGGGTGAGACCACTATTTTTCTCTCACCTAATTCGTGAGAATTTAAAAAAAAAAAATCTTTTTTGTTGACCCGTCAGCCCCCCCCCGTGGATCCGCGCCTGCAGAGGATCCAGACGGCGTCAAGGGGTGGGGGGGGGGGGTAGACAAATCTTAATACAAAATTTATTGCCGACTCAGCCGGCCGGCGAATAAGCGGGGGGGGGGGCTTTTGTTTTTTGTTTTATAAAGGTTAACTTTACGTTATTATCCTATTTTTTATCGTTTTGGGAGGCTGGGGGGGGGGGGGGGGCGAGCCGGAATAATCGCTACGTGGATCCGCCCCTGTATGGCCCCCAATCGAATAGTGAAAAAGAGAGGGGGAGGATAAAAATAAAGAGAGCTCGCGACGAAAAGTAGAGGGAGGAAAGGACAAGAAAAGATGATCGTTACACCCTCTCCCGCACTATCCTAGTCGATATGGCTGTTTAATAATTCGCATATAAACCAGTCAATTTTTATTAGAATTATCGGAGAATTAATATGAGCACGGTAAGCCACAAAACATAATAATACGTTCAATATGAGAGGCCATATTTCACATACATGATTGTATTATCATATTTTGTGCCTTAAGTAAGCTTAAAGGCTAAGTCCACTCCAAAAAAAAAATGCTTTTAATACAATGTAGATGAAGAAACTGCGCTGAAGATAATAGGGTGAAGTATAATGTCTCTCTTCAACGCAATTAGAGAGTCACTATCTTGTCTAGCGATTTCCGACTAGAAATAATTATTACTACAACAGCATTTTGCTTCAATTTAATAAAATATATAAATGTATTGTTGTTATTTTGTGTTTCTTCTGTTTTGTTAAAGACCGTCAATACAACTGGGCCAGAAGGGATTAGACCACACAGCAAGGTCACTGACAGGTGGCTATCTCGTTAACTCAGCTCTCAACTAACATAAGAAAAAGAGGATCATGGGGGACCAACAGGCACCGATTGGGGAAGTTTTCTATTTAGAGGGAGCAAGTAGCTACAAGTAGGACAGTGGGGCTTTAATACTAGATTTACATTATGTTCCCGACGGCCACGGCAATCACGTTTCAAGCCAACGTGGACAAAACGGGATGAACGTGAGACAAAGCGTGGGGGGGGGGGCGGAATGGACAAACTTGACAGGCCGTGAATATGCCGGGCCAACTTTTTAAACTGTCAACAAAATTGCCGAGGCAGTCACGGTGCCGATGAGAAAATTAGTCGGCCGTAGTAAAACGGGGGTGAACGCAAGAAAACGTGACAGTACGTGACAAATATCTAACAAAACTTGAATACAGAGAAAAAATGACCAAAATGACGCATATTACGTTTCAGGCCGCTAGGGACATAATGTTAGGATCTTCCAGGGATCAAAGAGGGCGCGCAATTCGTGGGGAAAAAATTAGCGGCGAAATAGCCAGACGGTGAATGAGCGGGGGGGGGGGGGGGGGGGGGGGGGGTAAGGAGCACTTTTGTTTTTGCGAAAATTTGAAAATGCATCAACGATGATTAAATTCTTTACATTGGCTGTAAAACAACCATGGGTAATTCGATCATTACTTGCCTAATGATTTGGAATACAACTTCATACATATAAAGCCTACTAAAACATTCTCCCCCCCCCCTCCTCTCTCTCTCTCTCCTCTCTCTCTCTCTTCCTCTCTCTCTCTCACACTCTTTCTCTCTCTAATGATATTGACATTCTTTTATTTTTCTGTTACTGAAGCAAAGTATTAATGAAAAATATACATCTGGGCCACTGTCTTATGAAGAGCTGCGATTGATCCAATTCAATCGTAGGTTCCCAAATCAATTGCAAGATGACATCAATCCAGGCGAGGATCCAGGATTTCTTAGGGGAGGGGGCCCAACTTTTTTATTTTGTTTTTGCTCCCGAAAATTTAAAAATCGCGCCGGGCGAAAAGTCGCTCAGTGGGGGGGGGGGGGGGGGGGGGGGGGGGGGGCCAACCCCCAAAATAGGTAAAAATCACGTGATTTTACACAATTTTTTTCTCAAGGGGGGGGGGGCCGAGCCCCCTGGATCTGCAACTGCATCAATCACAGGTTTTAGGAGCTGCGATGGAAACTTGATACTGATACCAATATCATGTTTTATAAGACAGGGTCTTGCTCTCAATTCTGATGCACACAATGACGTAGAATTGGACTAATTATTGGAATAATAACGATGAGCAATGTCAATATTTATTATAAAATTCCCTCAGGCTTTTTAATATACACTGCACATAATCTACATTTATTTAATTTCAACATAATCTACACCGATGAATGAATTAAAACGGTCAAACCATAGATTCTTCAACATGGCAGAGTTAAGTATTGCTGCCCATTATAATTTTCATGTACATCTTCAAGCGCAGCAAAAGTTAGGCCCCCACAAAACTGTATTTAATATCTTGCAGGAGAAAGAAGTGATGAATATATGATGGGAGGAATTGGCATACACCCAGGCACCTTTGCTTTTACCCATTTAGTAGTAATCATATTTCCATATATTTCCCCTCTTTATATAAGCAACAATGTATGGTTATGAGATTTGCCTATTAACCCATCAAATTATAAGAATTTCCATTATTTCCATTCTTCTTTTCCAAATGCACATGACAACTATGGTTAAAGCACCAGCTATACATGTATGTCTTATGTATTTTATATTTGTATCATAGGAAATGTGCTCTTCTCAACCCCTCAAACATAATTTGTTGAATAAGTTCATCATGATTAAAATTTGTTATGACACGTGCGTAAGGCATTTTACCTGTGACAGTTTCAATGCGTGTGATTCAGAAATGTACTGCCAAACCAATGTTGAAGTTAGCCACCATTTTACAATAACCAGGACATGTCGTTTTAGAGATTGTGACATCATAAATGACCAGCACCTGACATGTACCCAACAAAATAACATGTATGATTTTTTTAGAGACCCTTCAGAAGCATACACTGCTCATGCCGGGCAGTTTATACCATAACCATAAGAGGGGGTAGCGATTGCCCAAGCATGCCTTTCCCACTTTGCCTCAGTTTTCCATCGTCAGTTTGTTACTAAGAAATGTAAATTACTCAGGTGGATGTGTGTAATAAAAGGTCAATCCATTGTAAAAGAATCATATAGATGCCTACTAGCATTAGACAGTATATTGCACAGTTTGTGTTCTTAATCTTAACTGATTTGAATGCTAGTATTGGATGTAGTATGATTCTAAAAACTATTGACTTGCAGTAAATTCAAGAAAAGATAGATAATTCAATAGCGAGCAAGGGACACCAATCTACATGTACATAATTATATTACACATAACAACCCATTTACTCTGATATATTTCGATTGTGATGCTGCTCCTATTCTACTTTCATATTAACATTTATATTCATACCTGAATTTATTCATGATGTGATTCAGAATTCTATTTAAAATTCTTGCTATGTATAAGTCATATAATTGTCTTGTTATGTTTTGTGCTGAAAGCCGGAGGACCGTACCTGCTCATAGACTTTTTCTTTAAAGAGGTTTGACGCCCATCTGGCTTTCAGCACACGACAACATGTTTATGTCTTATGTTTCACATATTACATGTTACACCAATGGAAAACAAATTTCTGTATTATATATGAACAATAAAATCTTGAATCTTGATAAATGATGCTAAGACAGCAAATGAAATTCCCGAAATTCGTTACCTACCATTGGCATCGAATATGCTCAGTCTCGAGGATAATATAATAGATGATTATACACAGAAAGGTAACCATACCCAGAATCATGGATCCAATGAGGAATTTTTAATACCATTCCACAAAATAACACGTTATCATATCATTCACCTAAAGGGGATATTGGCCTTACATAATGCTCCCGTCCGCCACCAATTCCATAATGGAAAATATTCTGAATCTGAAAGATAACAGAAAGCATTGCAAGTCTCTCACAGCATCTTCTCAATGGGATACCAAGCTTTGCTGCTTCAATAGGCCTGTCTTCATCAGCTCCAGATTGCCAAATAACAAGCTAATTTAACTATACCAATCGCAAATTATCCAGCTTATTTGCGCTTCTTCAGCCCGCAGTTGCAATTATAGCGGGATATTTGGTCGAGATAATCATCACAAGATATTTCGGGCTAGCTTGCAAAATATCCTGCTATTTTGTCTGGTGCGTTTTTGCCAGCTCGAAGATTCGCACTATGCGTGAACGCTGAGCAAAATATCTTGAGGTAATTTCTCAAGCTCGAGTTTTGAGTTTCGATCTGATGAAGACGCGGATTTGTAACTTTGGGCTTATTTCCCAAATCAGAAATAGCGGGGCTATTTGGCAATCTCGAGCTGATGAAGACATACCTTATGAGAGATTTGTACAACATTGCCACTAGTAAGTCCTTGGTATTTTCACTTATGCCTCAGTCACACCTTTGCGTATTGCTGCGTATTTATGGCAAGGTGTTTTAACATTATTCCTATTTCTTGCTATCAAGAATTACCATTGCTTTCCAACAGAAAATCATTTCTTGATATCAAGAATTCATTTCTAGATATCAAGAAATAGGAATAAGTGTTGAAACAGCTTGCTATAAATACGCAGCAAATACGCAAGCCAAATACGCAAAGGTGTGACTGAGGCATTAGCGAAGTGTTCTAAGTATGATGTAATAATCATGGCAATAGTCAATAGTGTGTCTTTTATGTTGCATCATTGTAAAAGTAAGATAATACATATCCAAAACAACATAAAGGTGCACGAACTGACGTGATAAAATATGACATCAATCATTGAAATTGAAGAAATTTGTACAACTTACTGATCGGTGGTTGCATACCTAGTTTTGTTATTTCTGTACTGCAATTCCATCGAGGTGGGCATTGCCATTGTGGCAAACTTGGTGCAATATATTCAATGAGCATTTGATATACATCTTGCATTCATTTCAAACTTTACTTCAATAATTGTCTTACTATCGTTCAAAGTGATGACAAAACAAAGCATTTGGGGGAGGGGGGGGGGGGGGGGAGAGGGCCAGAGGGGTCTAATTTGGGGATGATTTTCTGGAGGAAAAAAACATGCTCATGTTGTACGTTTGAAATAAATAGTAATAGATATAGTGTGAATATTGAGTTCCCTTCTTTAGAACTCCCTGGTGTGAATACAGATTTCTAAAATACTTGATGGCAGTGAGGTTCCAAAAGTTGTACATCTATTACAATGTTTGTGGGGGGAAATCAATTGAATCTCCTAATTCAAATACAACATTAACAAAATGAAATTTACATCAGATTTCATGAAAGCATCGAGATCTGTTGTCCAGATACATTTTTAAATGAAAATAGACTATGGATTATAAGTGACAAGGCTGTTCCCTCTAGAGAAAGTCATCATCCGAGTCGCACGTCTCTACGGTTTCAACTTGTGATCTGAGTTTACTGATTGCATTGAAGAGTTCTGAATTCTCCCACTGGGTTTGTTTCTGGGCGTCGCCGTTACCTTCCACCTGCCGTAGCTTGACACCCTGGCGAATCAGATGCAACATGCCCATCATAGGGTCTACGAATAAGGATAAAACACAAGGGTCATTGAGGTCAAATCAAGTTCAGATGATATTTGTATTCAGGGACCAGCACAAGTGAGCCTTTAACATAGTTGCACAACAGTTGCTGCGTATCCTCGAAGAGCACAAACACATTTGCTCAACAAATTGTTTTTCATCTTTCATTTTGTATTTCAACAAAGAGAAATTGTGTAAAAAACAAAAACAAATTGACAAAAATTGAGATTACATTTATTTTGACATATGTGTTCTCTATGTGAAGAGAGTTAAAGTTCAAAACTTTAAAATGTGTTATTTCTGTCTCTATAATTGACATATATTTATGTCAATGCATTTGTTTGCACCTTTCTGCTGGGCAAACCACAAATTGCAGTGCAAGAAATATGGTGAAAACTGATGACCATCAGCCACACGGCAGCTAATGCGCATGAGGGAGGGGGGGGGGTGATTCTGTCCAATGTGTCCCATATGACATGTGATATTTATATATCCATATATACCATGGCCTCATGTTAAAACAAATTATCACTTCTTGTCAGCTCTACAAACTGTGATACATAATCCATTACTTATTCAATGAATCAATCATGAAATCAATACAATAGTTAATCTGATAAGATCAAAGTGCGTGTTTGAATTCCAAATTAATCTGCATGAAAGCAGATAATGTGCGGCATTATATAACTAATCTACACATGTATTGCATAGTGGTGTTGCACAATGTTACAATTTCAATACTTGCATGCACGACTCATAGAAAAATGAAGAGTTTGACTGATCCATATAACTCTCCAACTGCAGAAAGAAACTACAATTTTCATGGACGGAACATGCTGGAACTAATCAAAATACAATGACATAAGATTCAATTGTCTAAAGATTAATATCAAGACTATCTAGAAGTAGGCATTTGGAAAGAAATACATTTATGAATATTTACTCACAAATTCATATAAAAATGATACTCGCTCCTACTAGGAACATGAAAATACCTTTGTCTGTTTTATGTGCACCATCTTCATCACTGCTCGTTCTTTTTTGAAGTCTCTGTCTAGCTGATAGGATGCTATCGAGATTAATACCAGTTGGAGGGGCTACCTCTGCTGCTTGCTTCTTCTTCCCACCAACCGGTGATCTCCCCCTACCACCTGTCGTGGGAGCCATGCCCGGCTGAGATGCTGGTGGTGGTGGTGGTGGTGGGGGTGGTGGGGCAGGCACGGCTGGTGGAGGGGGCGGCGGTGGCGGTGATGGAGGAGGAGGAGCACTGACGGGGGAACCAGCTGGAGGAGGATAAGGAGGAGGTGAGGGTGCACTTCTGGAAGACCCTGGTGACTTCGATGGGGATTTTTTGTTCGAGTTGGGTGAACCAGGCTTGGCAGATTTAACTCGGGACCCAAGTTTGGATTTTGACATTTTAGAGTCTGTTGAAACTGATGAACTACTTCTAGTTTTAGTTTTGTCCTCTTTATGTTTCTTGAATTGGTGTGGTTTAATCGTCTTGGGACTTGGATATTTCTGTTTTAAAAAGAGGGGGGGGGGGGGGGGGGAGAGAGAAAAAGAACAATTTCTTTCTTAAATGGAGAGACCAACATGATGAATCTCTGAGAAACTTACATGTATATGGGAATATATTCAATCAATTATGTTGTTGACTTACTGGAAAACAAGTCGTAAAATTTAATAGTAATTAGAATAACATATAAACATTTATTAAATTAAATCTATTGTCTCGTTCAAATACTGCAAATGATCATACTTTTAAAATAAAATCAAACCAGCATAAACGATTAAACACCATTTGATTTATTCGACAATCAAACATATCAATGGAGATTGAATTGACAAGCTCCACAACAATACACAATGAGAAATTTTCAACACAACTTTGATCAATGAAAAAAGGCAACATCATTCTGGATAAAAAAAGAATCTTGAAATTATTAACCACAATCGGATTCAATTCCTACCATATTGTAATTTTTCAATCTCTCCATTGTCTTCTGTCTCTCTGCATTGAAGAAGTCTTTTTTCTTCTGTCCAATGGCTGCCTGTTGATCACGTTTCTGTTATTAAAATGTAAGCCAAGTCATAACCATAAGTTTCGTCATCATAACCTACCTTCTTTAGATCTTCATCCATCCCTTTCTATCTATTAGACAAGTTAAATACAAATGAAATACACTCTCAGTCAGTTATCTTTAACATCTACAATCTACATGTATAATAGTTTTATGTAAATCCAGCATATATCTTCCTGATGATTATTTGGTTAATTTTTTGGTGGTCATTGCATCGATAGCAACCAACCATCACAGCTGAGAGCACTACGGAAGAAACATGCAATTGTAAAAATCACAAGTAAATGATCTTTGGTCATTTGAAGGGTGGTTTGTTGTTTGGTTTGTTTTCCCCGACTGCGAAGGAAGCATGTGTTTGCTTGCAAGTAAGCAACCAGGGGGACAACGACTTTATGTCCTCTTCGACGGACTTGGTAATGAGGTTTAATGCCTTACCAATGGAGCATCACCAATGGAGCATCAAATTGGTTTCGACCCAGGACCTCCCGGTTACGAGACCACTGCTCTACCACTGAGCCAACATGCCTCTTATTAAAACCAAAATAAGAGAGATATCTTCCCTGGCATCATCTAACCATTAATGCTTTCATTTCATTTTTGTCATCTATTTCTTATATCTTGATGACCACAGAGTCCCAGTGGTCAAGTCACTCCCTGAAGGGTCTGTGCTATTCCATACCAATAAGGTGGTCTGATCTAAGACCCCTGTTACACATACGTCTGAAAGTGGACTGAGGCCGGCCCCGAAGGCGGCTCGATGTATGTGTAACACCAAATTTTTTTGAAAAGCTGGACTGAGGCCGGACCGAGGCCAGGTGGACTCAGTCCACCTCTGGATGTGGTTTGAGGCCGGCCTCAGTCCCGCCATCAGTACGTGTAACACCAAAGTGGACTCGGGGCCGGCTTATAAGCGGAAGTGACGTGACCTTTCATCATATATCAAACATATACATCGGGCACCCTTTGCCACCTTCTCTTATGATATTCTTTGTTTTTATCATTCTATCACTTTCTCTTTCTGTCTTTCCTTATGTTATTCTTTGTTTTTTATCATTCTATCACTTTCTCTTTCTGTATTTTATTATGTTATTCTTTGTTTTTATCATTCTATCACTTTCTCTTCTGTATTTCATTATGTTATTCTTTGTTTGTATCATTCTATCACTTTCTCTTTCTGTATTTCCTTATGTTATTCTTTGTTTTGATCATTCTATCACTTTTTCTTTCTGTATTCCTGGAGTCCGCCCCAACGTCAGCTCGTGAAAAGGCGACGTGAGGCCGGCCTATGTGTAGATGCAAAATTGCGGGCCCGAGATCATGTGTAACAGGGGTTTGATGATCTCGAGGCGGCTTCAAATTGCAGGCATAAGGCCGCCTCCGGGGCCCGCTTTAAAAGCCGACGCATGTGTAACAGGGGTCTAAGCCAAGGTCTAGTTGGACTATCATCTTGATAGAACAACAGGGGGGTGTTTCAAAGATCATAAGTCGAACTTAACTCTAAGTTGGACTTTAAAATTATGGAGAGCCATATGTAGCCTTAAAATAAAATATATTCTAAAAATCATGTATTTTAGACTTTTTATAAATTCCACATCAAGAACATAAAATCTCTGTGATAAAAGAAAATATAAATGGTTTGAATCAACATCTTATGCCTTTTAAAATCACTTTTAAAAAATATTTTCTTAGATGCTAACGGCTTTCCATAATAGTTAAGTCCAACTTAGAGATAAGTTCAACTTAGGATCTTTGTGAAACACCCCCATGATATTCTATAAGTTTACATGTTGTCTGTAACTTATGGGGACAAAATAACTAGGACTTGCCCAAAGACACATATGGCATATAGTTACTTCAGAAAACACAGATTAGAATTGAACCGGCCTGATGAAGGGCCCGTTTGACTACTTACCATTTGGATCTTATGGTGCATCTCATGGTCTACTTCCATCTTTCTGCTACCTGCACTCTTCTCATTGTTCTGATTCTTACACAGTTGCTGCAATAATAATGGACAATGTATTTATTAACCCATTGAATATACAATTCTCTCTTTCCCATAAGCTTTTATACAGGAGACACCCTTTTCCAGTAGGCAAGGGGTTAAATTAATGTTTCAAATACATTACATAATCAATTCATATTTCACTGTAAGATTCATCCTGAGATTAACTTACAGGCGACTATTACATTTAACACAATATTTCTAATAGGTTCATACCTTTTGGTCTTAGTATTGCATGGTTATTCTAATGCCATAAAGAATGTAAAACAGTTATTGTCTTTCAATTTGCTGTTTAAGTAAATGGGATATGCTAATAATATAATAACATTATTGTAATATGTTTAATGTTCAATCATCATTTGTCATTTGTGCTTTTTTTTGGACAATAATGATCATTATTACCCGTATCAGACATCTGAGTTGGTAATTTACAAAACCGTATTGCCCTAGTTTTCACTAGCAGTGGGAACGGAGGGGTATATTCTTTGTATTTTCCTTGGTCTCCCTGCTCGTATAGACTTTGCGTGTAGAGACGAGTGAAAATATACCTTTGTATTTTCCACGGTCTCGCATCCGGGCATCTTGTATTGACCGCGCCGTATTTTGTCATTTTCATTGCGCATCTATTATGCGTAAAAGAACCTGCGCACTTTGCGCGCACTCTATTGTGACGTAATAATCGCACCAAATGCACACTGTTTGCAGTGTATCAAACATTTTCGTCAAGCACTGGATGCACAGTAGTGATTTGACAAAGTTTGTTCAGTTCTTTGAGATTGTCATGGTGGATTTTTGTATTTGCTCTAGATGCCTGATTTGGATAACAATAAAAATATTGACTGGCTTTACTTTCGGGGGATATAAGAAATATTGACGGCGCTAAGACCATATTGCCCTCGTCTTTCGACTCGGGGCAATATGATCTGAGTTTGGTCAATATTTCTGATATACCCCTCAAGGCCAGTCAATATTATATAATTATTTGCTTATGTTTATTTTGAATGATTCTCATTGGTTATGTATGATTATTTGTATCAATAGTATTTGTTGAGTTGTTTTTTGTTAATAAAGAACTATTTTCCTTATACACTACAAAGTACCACATCAGTAGAGCATATTGAAAATATAAGAAGATGGTCCTAAAACATAACTTATCCATCAGATCTTACTTTATTGTTTCTCAGTTGAGCTTTCCTTTTGCTGATGCGTGCAAGCCTTGACCTCAAGACCTTTGACCTTGTATATTTCTCCTCCAGCGTCCGACTTTCCTCCTCTCTGACCGGTCCCTCCTCCTCAGCAAAGACATCCAAATCCAGATCCTCCACGTTCTCAACGGCATCGTAGAACATTACATCATCCTCTGCCTCTGTTATCAGAGAAAATGAGAGAACCATAATTACATACATGCATACAGAGAGTGAAACTTGTAGAGTGAAATTTGTATGGAAAGATGACTTAAAACAAGATACAGAAATTGTTCTTCAAGTTCATAGAAAGGTGGTCTCTATGAAACAGTTTCTTTAAAACGTGTTTCAAGAAACAATAATCACTGGTACGAAATACATAGCTTTAAATGAAAAATAATATAATTGGCATTTATATAGTGCCGTCTATCTAGACAATTCTATTCCGAGGCGCACAAATTAATTATTAACCAGGCTTTAGCCTAGCTGCCATTACAGTGCTCTAGCATTTCAAGGAATTAATTCCTGCCAGGTACCCATTTACCTCACCTTGGGTCAAGTGTGGCAAATGTAGATTAATGCCTTGGCAAAGGATATTAGTGCCGTGTCATGAATTGAACCAAGACCTTTGAATTTCAAGTCAAGTGCTTAAACCGCTCGACTACAACACTTCTACGATCGCAAGTCTTTCAATACAGGTGGTCCCTAGCCTAACAACCTTAAGATTTAAATATTTATATCATTTACCAAGATGTGATCTAAAAATGGGAGAAAAAAAGAACCTTACAATACATGCTTTATTATCATTACTAAGAGCGTTAATGACTGATAATCACCTCCATAATCTAGTGAATTTTATTTTTGTTTGGAAACAATCATACGAGTCATGTAAATAAGACATTATACCTACAAATTTAATCTTCCAAAGAACTTTTATCATCACATATTTACTTTTAAATCAATCAACAGTCCACATGAATTTTGAATGGATCATCATCTTGGAAATTGGACAGTACCAGGTACCTTTGAAATTATGCATTAGGCTTCAATCTTTGTAAAGATTTGTAAAGATATCTAACCTTGAATTTCTGCTGTAGCTGTTTGAGTTGTCTACTGCATTGAGACTCCTGATCTTGTAGAATACTGAGCTGTGTCTCAAAGAGTTTCATCTGGAGTTCAAAAGCTTTCCCTGTAACCTCTCCACCTCGCGTTGGAACCCTGCACCTTCATCCAAACATGCCAGCTTCAATCACAAGGTAGAAAAGAGTCGCGTTCTAAACTTCTATCTTTAAACTGGACTTTGGCATCATAAAAATAGGAATCATATCACTTTTAACATTTTGAATTGTAATTTCAATTTCATTCAATCAATCATTGATTTATTTTGTTTTCATGAAAATACAATCAAAGGAAATAAACATTCAAACAACAAATGAATGAAAATACAGAGTGAGTAAAGGACATTTTCTTTGGAATAAAATGTAAAAGAGACATTGAAAATTCAACACTTTCTACTATCATGCATATGAACCAATGATTGCTTACATCTTGTTTAATCTTGCCGAGTTCATGCTTGTATTATCCCTCTTGGCTTGAAGTAGCTGTAGAGTGTCTTGTGAGAGGGTTTGCAGCAGGTTGCTGAGACGCTCCTCTCCTCCCATTTCCCATGATGCCTTGCCAAACTCCTTGCTGTCCGATGTCATCTGAGTGACGACGGCTGAAGAATTATAAAAAGCCGTGTATTAATTAAATACAAAAGTTAATGAAGAATATGTAATTTGTAACATTGTCACTAGGTCATCAGGTTTATGAATGTTGGCCCCCAACCTCTAAGAACTCCTGGATCCACCCCTGCAATATAGACAAAGAATTATCTTCTGTGACTTCCTATCCATCATCAAGTTATAACATGGTTAACTACTTTCCTCCTTTTTAATCATAATTAGCGAAATCTAAGAACAAATTTCATCAAATAGTAAGAAATAATTTCTTTCTTACTAGAGAAAGTTTAAAAAGTACATAGTTTCAGGCTTACCACATACTTAGTTGGAGCCAGAAGGGCATTAACTCATATACTTTAGCACAGAGTTATTATTCTTTTGGCTCCAAACAGATGATACCTCGTATCAAGTGAGACATTGCTCACCTGCCTGCAATTAAAGTTACCTTTTGTTGTTTTCATGCACTCTTGAAAATAGTTGATCCTCAACTTGTTGATTGCATCAATAGACTCCACATAATGTTCCTGCCATTCACTGTACTCCATGGTGCATTTCTCTCTCCCCTTCATACTCATAGACTCGTCCTCCAGTCTCTCCTGCAAATTCAGTAAATGATCAAAGGCTAGTTCCCTCAAGTCTAGATAGGGTTGGAGGTATAAATTAAACAGTTCGGCTTGAGCTGAGGCTAGGTCACATAAAATCCCATCCTCCTTCTCGTAGAGTTCCATCATATCCTTCATTTTCTTCACGGAAGAGTGTTTCTTGTGCGATGTCCGTATCTGCTCCTCCCACTTTGCGACATCAGCTTCATAAGCATCTTGCTTCAGCTTACCATAGCTTTCCACATAACCCTCAATACCAACATGCGAGTTAAAGAGCGTATCAGTCACGAGCTTCTTCCCGGCAATTTCAGCTGCCGTATCAAGGTACCTCACAAGCTGTTCATCAAAGTCGTCTGGAATCTCAAGACTGTACACCCAGCTCCAGATGCCGCGGGGGTCAAAGGGCAAGGACGGTGGGTATTCACAAAGCTCGGGTTTCACAAGGCACATCTGCTCGTGGGCGTACTGTAGTTCTTGAATGGACATCAGGGTTGTCCAGCCCTCTTTGGTTCCATTCAGCGAAGGCCTATCTTTGGAAATACCTACGTCCTTGTCAGGATTACCAGGTTTTTTCCCTGGAGGGCCAGTGTTGAGAGTCCTTCGGATCGCCCGTTGCTCCGCTTCATGGCAGACGATAGCGACTTTATGAAGCTGCTCGTTCCAGGCTACCTTGAAATGGAGATGAGATGCTTTACTTTTAGCTTCAGAGGTTTGAAATGGATCAGGTTGGATGGCTACCCAGTCATCTGAACTCACTTGTCTCTCCATCACGACACATTGATTCTGTAATAGATAATAGGATTTAGTCAAATTAATGCACTATAGTATAGTATATGACTCCATCCCTTGGTTAGGACGTTAATTGGAGAGTCACCATCCTTGCACGTTAAGAACCCACTGCACTATTTGTATAAGAGTAGGGGAAACCCCGGTTTAGTGGTCCACCTGCACACCCCAATCAGGCCGAGTATATACAGCATCTGCAAAAATCTTCAGTATTGAAGGAGGAAGATTATCTTGAAGAAGAAGACTTGTACTATACTATTATTTAAGAGAAAAATATATACCACACTGTCATTTAACATGCTGCTGATCAATGAATTGCCTTAAAGCTTATCTGCCATAGTTTACAGGAGGGATTAGACTGCCCTGCAAGGTCACTGGACAGGTGGTTATCTCATCAACTCAGCTCTCAGTTAACATAAGAAAAAGAGGATCATGGGGGGCCAATGGTCACCGATTAGGCATTGATTGTTATATAGAGGGCGCAAGTAGCTACAAGTAGTGCAGTATGCCTTTAATGGTCCTAACTATTGTCATATATGAATTGCTTTAGTTTAATAATGATATTACCAGAAACTTTAAGTGCTATTTATCTTGCTAATTAAGTCTAACTCTAACTCTAAAAAAAACACTATTTTGCATGGTGCGAAATTAAATTATTGTGAAGAAAATGAACATTTAAAACAAAACTTACATTTCAAACCATGCAAACAGCCTGTGCAATAACCTTGGCTTGCAAGTTGAAGAGTTGAAACGAAAAAGACAGTCTTTAGTTAACATCAGACTGGACCGTCATGAATAGTACATTGTACTTTATTTTACTCCACGTAGCTAGTAGTAGTACTAGTCGACTGTAGATCTGCCTTTTTATCACGCATTGACATGTCACACGACAATGGATAATTCACTTGGCCTAGATTCTGTAAACAATAATGACGTCACCTTTCCTGGTTTAATGCTTGAAGCATGTGCTCCTTTCTTTTTTCTTAAAATCTTGCTACGCGTATGTAATGCTATACACAGAGAGTTAGAGATGTGGTTCCAGTAAACAAGATGTCTGCTCCCATGTCTGCCAGAAACGAGAAAGGAACATTTTTAAATCCTAATTTTCAATTAACCGTCGTCTATATTTCCCTTTAAAAGCAGCTATTGATTCGGTTAGTATTCTTTTAAATTACTAGTAGTATTTTTTTTTCTAAAATGTATTTTCCAGCGATATTTCTGCGACAATATATTGTTATGCAGTCCCGTTTGTATGTTTTTGTGCAGTAGGCCTAGACCATACTACAATACAGTGCGTCCCAGAAAAAACGAAACCGAGAATTATCGATGTTTTATCATAACTTAATCACAATTATAATTAATAAATGACACATATTTGTAAAGCTTAGATCCTCCTCTTTCATTTGACGCAACTCATATGATGAATATTTCCCGCATGAGTGATTAAAAACAATTTGAAGAGAGGAAAGCAAAAAGTCATTTGGCTTATTTTGGCGGGCGGTATCTGAATTTCAAGGAGAAAACCACATTTTTATTTCTAGAAAGTTAATTTCTGCCCTTTCATATGACACCTCAATCAGGAACAAGGAGCCAAGAATAACAAAGTTCTGTTTGTTTAAAGTAATACTTGCATTTCCATAATTTGATTAAACAAATTTGTTGTCACTGGCTGCCTGCCATAGCAAGAAACAGAGTTGACAAAAGACTGAACTCCGTTTCGTTGACGATCAGCCATGCATCAAGTCTTCCGTCTTCTTTGTGCATGGCTGATCGTCAACGAAACGGAGTTAAGTCTTTTGTCAACTATGTTTGTTGCTATACTCTCATGCTTAAACAGCTCATGTTAATTGTTGGTTTAGATAATGGCATTGTAAACAATTTCAAGTCATTAATGCCTGATGTCTTGAGAGTAAATTCTATTTTAATTCATATTGTATATGGCTTATGGGGGTGCAACCATAGTTCGCTATCTCAAAAATTAGTAATACTTACAAAATTTGATATCGCAAATGGAAAGAAACTGAAAATTACCTAGACATGAATTACCAAACGTACAGCACCAAATTTTCTTTAGCATTGGTTTTGACATTGTGAAAATATTAAAAAAGATTGGCAAATTTGTCGTCTTTTGCGTCCATTTAAAAAAATAATTAACTTGCCGACAAAGTCCTAGGAATCTTAATATCAAGAGAAGCTGTTATCAAAATTGTAAGTAAGAGGTAATAATACCAACTGATTTGGTGATATTGTACCTTACAATACTTTACCTTAAAAACTACCGGTATGCAACTATCTTACATTTGATGGATCATTTTTTGTGTGTATCAGCTGTAAGCTTCTATGTGCCAATTAAGGTCTCCTTATGATTTTTTTCATCAGTTGCAACACATTCTGATCCAACATTGAATTTAGAGATCGTGATATCTCCAGAATTCTTTGACGATGAATTTCCCAGTTGCACCAACTTGTAGTCAAAAATTTTGCCATCCATTTTGTTATAGTTGAACTGAATATGTTTGTGTAGAATCATGAGAAATCAGGGATCAAATATCACATTTCCAATTTTTTGTGTAATCTTTGCAACCTTTGGTCACTACAGGATGTTATTCCTACACTTGATTTGCAGTACATGTAATCAGTTCATAGATATGGGGCTTTATGTTTGATCTCTGCTTTTTTAGTTTAATTTCAACTAATCTTTCTGTTTGTTATGTCCTCTTTAACAACTGCAGCTAGAATCCTGTGTCAGATGTGAAGATTTTATACCAGGCTCAAGAACCAGAATGCAGGCTCTATTGAAAGTTGGCCATGGCCAGAAAGTTCTGTGTCGATTTCTTCATATTGCACCCCTAAGGAGTCCTAGCAGACACAAACTACGGAATGCTGCTTCTGTGCTTCAAACTCGGAACATAACATCACAGAAAGTTGTACCAATGGAATACTTTCCTACCACAAAGTTTGGCAGGACACCTCTTCAGTCAAGGGATATACTTTGTCTAGCCCAGCAGAGATTCCAAAGTACTGTGAGAGGCAATGAATCTAGAGACAAAGTTGCAGATGGTCAAGAGAAACCGGAATATAAACCTTTCTACCGTCTTCCATACATCGTTGGTCTGAGGATACTTTCACGGGTCAAGATAGCCCAGACATGCTTTACATTAGCCATCCTTCCTCCACTCTATAACTATCATGAAGCTGGTATGGTGTCGACATGGCAACTACAGCTCTCCATCGGCACTGCGACCTTTGCCCTCTTCATGCTCTACACCATGAGCTTCTTCCTGAGGCGAGTGGTCGGGGCAATGTACCTGCACCGAGATGGAGACGTTCTCAAAGTCTCCCATTTGACATTTTGGGGGAGCAGGAGGGACACGGTTCTCCCTGTAATGGACGTTATCCCTCTGAGTGAAGGAAGCAATAAGGCCGAAGATGTATTGATGAAACTGGAGAGATACACCACAAAAGACATTCTCTACTTCACCCTAAGATTTGGGCGTGTCATTGATGTAGAAGTTTTTGAAAATGTCTTTGGTAGACCTCAATGATGCCTTATACATACAGTCTGTCAAATTGATTGATTTGCAGATGATAGGATTAAAGAAATTCTTGTCCAAACTTTTAAGATAAGGTCAAGGAATTCGAGAAATCAAAGAAATTTATTTCCTTGTAACTGTGTGTACAAGCTTGCAGCCCAGCAATACCATAAAGAGAATTGTGCAGACTAAGTCGAGCCTTTTATGTGAATGTAAGTTTTCAGAGATACTTTTCAAATTAGTTAGAGATATAATGAGACAATTTAAAGACATTTTGGATGTACAATTTTATGTAATGTGTACAACAAGTTTAATACAGTGTAAGCTGGAAACAGAAGTTAATTGAATCTGAATGCATGAAAACACTGATCAAAATGTTATTCCCTTTTCTTTATGTAATTTAGAACACTTGTTCCTAGGAACAATTACAATTTTTGTTGATATGTACTAGAGTGGAAAGAGAGAATGAAAGATACAGATGTGGAGAGGGAAGACAAGGAGAATGAAAGATACCAAGCCTACTGAGTATAGACAGAGAGTATAAAGAGAGAATGTGAGTAGAAAGGGTTGAAAGAGAGTCGAGAGGTGAGGGGAAAAGAGAGAGTGACAAATTATACAGAAAATCGAGAGGAGAGGGAGAAAGAGAGAGTGACAGATACTCCGGCAGATAATACAGAGAGGCGAGGGGGAAGAGAGAGTGACAAATTAGACAGAGAGGAGGGGGAGAAAGAAAGAGTGACAGATACTACAGAGAGGAGAGAGTGAAAGATACTACAAAGAGCAGAGATGAGAGGGGGAAAGAGAGAGTGACCGATACTACAGAAAATAGATATAAATAGAGAGAGATTAGAATACATAAATGGTAGAAAGAGAGTGAAACGTACCAATGAGACTGGAGAAGAAAAGAGAGAGAGTGACAGATGCTACAGAGAGGAGAGAGGGGAAGAGAGAGTGAAAGATACCACATATAATAGAGGGCGCAGGAAAGAAAGAGAGAGTAAAATATACTACTGGGAACGGTAGAAAGAGACGATGATTCAGTGGAAGAAAGTACAGAAATAAGGAGGGTAGAAAGAGAGTGAAAAGTACAACTGCTTGAAGAGAGGGTAAACGTTTTGAGAAAGTGAAAGGTATTTCTGATAGTAAAGATTAGGGGAGGGGTTGTCACCCTGTCACTGACGGAGAAGAGAGAGTAGAAAGGGAGGGCGAAATATACCGCTGTATGTGAAGAGAGTAAGAAGAGAGTGAGTTATTTCAGTCTTATACCATACGATCAGAGGCGGCGGACCCGCTGAGTTCTCCCCTCCCCACACTTTTTCAAGTACCCTAAAGTGCTCCTTTTTACATAGGAAAAGTGACCTCTTTTACTTCAGAGAAGTGGCTTTTTTTTAATATTTATAATAGGTGCCCCTTCCACATTCTGATAAGTGCCCCCTTTGCCCATATTCAAATCTGAGACGTTCCCTTTTACTTTACCAAGTGCCTGTTTTCTTTATAACAAGCTTCCCTTCTCCTTCTGATACGTGCCCCTTGCCTCTTTTCACGTCAGATAAGTGCCCCTTTTATATTGACAATTGCCCCGTTTTCTTTTTAATAAGTAGCCCTTTCCTTCATCAAGTGCCCGTTTTTCTTGTGTTTATAAGTGCCCTTTTCCATTCTCACAAATGCCCCTATTCATAGCAGGTGAGTGGCTATTCTCATGTACAAGAAGTATCCCTTACCACATCTGATATGTGCCCCTTCACATCTTATAATTGTCTCTTTTTCAAATCTGAGAGGTGCCCATTTTATTATGACACGTGCCACCGTATCCTATCTAATAAATGCCATTTCTTCCTGATAATCGCCCCTTTTCCTTTGTAATAAGTGCCCCTTCTCCGTTCTCATAAGTGCCCTTTTTTCATCTCTGGTGAGTGCCCCTTATCAGGTGCGAGAAGCGCCCCATTTTCACTTCAGATAATTCCCCTTTTAAATTTGAAACATGCTTTTTTTTCTTTTTTTAATAAGTGTCCTTTTTTCTTTGGATATATACCTCCTTTTCCTTTCACCATAACATATACTCCTAATTTAAAGTAGCTAAGAGCAACTTTTTCTTTAAAGTTGATTTAATTTTGTTTCTTATCAAAGGTCTGTTTATTATTTCATGAGGGTTTTTTCCCCTTCTTTATAAGATGCAATTTTTGGCACTGCGACCTCACAAATCTTCACTCGATCGCAAATGAATATTTAGACCATCACACGTAACTGCAAAGTATGATGCTCAAGCAGTTTCTTGGACCATGTAGAGAAAGAAACAAATATCAAAATCATCTCCTAATTGTATATATTCGCTTTGAGGTTTCCCTATGTAGATGCCCCTTTTTTCTTCCAGAAAGTGCCCTTTTTTGTTGGTGCCCCTCCTCCCCCTCCCCCACTTTGAAAGACGCTCCGCCGCCCTTGCCTACATTATACGATTAAAGAGGTTTTCAATATAAACTCCATTTCCAAACTAAATCAATTCATGTGTCTTATAAATCCTTACCATAAAACAAAATTGCATGCGATTAATATAAACGCTTCGCTTAATTCTATTGAGGAATGATGTATGATGGTGATACTTAAATTCAACGATGTTTAAAGGAAACATGGTCATGAAATAAACGCAAAATCATAAGTCGCGGTTTATATTTTAGAATCTTTATTTACACATGTCATTTGAAACAGAATATGTCAAAGAGTGAGAAATTGCCGTCCTCAGCTATTACAGATTGCAGACCATAACATAGTACCGTTTTTTTTCTTCCTTTCTGTACAGTTGGGGGAAGTGAAATAAAACTGATGTGAACAAAGTTTTGGGGTTACCAACTGTACTTTGCATAGCAACATTTCTCATGGCGGTATATTGTACAGCGTCAACGTACAACCACCGATACCCGTAAACGCCCTTGGATAATCTTTAAACGAGCCCCAGACATCCTCGTCAATATCGTACTTTTCAACTGAGTGGAGCCATTGTTTGCTCTCCCAATTGTACCCTCCAATTAAATAGATCGTTCCATCCACGACGCTCCCTGCCATTTCTGCCCGTGGTGTCGCCATGGGGGATAGTTGAATCCATGTGTCTCTGCGGGGGTTATATTGCTCAATGTGAGGGATGCAGCTGACCGTTCCTGTGATATCAGCAGTAGCTCCACCGGCTAAGTAGAGGTAGTCACCGTGTGCCAAGAGGATGGCGAAGAAGCGAGGTATGCGAAGATTTTTGCGTGGTAGCCATTCGCCCTTATCATCGTCAAAATATTCCACTTTGCTTGATATCTTTTGGTTCCCTGGGAGAAGAAAAGGAAAGTTATAAACAGATTTATAATCTGACCACATAATGGGGACACCAAGAGGTGCGTGCATGTACCAAGTACATGAGCAATCGTCGAAAAAATCTTCAAGATTTTACAAGATAAACTAAGAAAGTGGTTTATTTTTCAGTGTGGAATTTGACAGATAATTATGAGCATGTGCATCACTGATTAGTGATAAGACGGCAACGGCTGATTTCTCTCGATCTCTCTCTCTTGTTTTCTCTCTTTCTCTATCTCGTGTTCTTTCCGATGTTTCTGTTCAGATAAGACATGCAAAATTGCATTTCTATGTCTAGAGACAGAAAAGTGAAATAATAGGGGGAAGTTTCCATTCGTGGTACCGTAATGACAATCCAACTACACTGTATTTGCGTATGAATAGAAATAGAAACGATATTATTCATCTCTATCACAGGTTTGTTCACATTGAAATTAGCAACAACAAAAAATGAGTATATACAGTGCGTCCCAGAAAAAACGAAACCGAGAATTATCGATGTTTTTTCATAACTTAATCACGATTATGATTGATGAATGACACATATTTGTAAAGCTCAGATCCTCCTCTTTCATTTGATGCAACTCATTTAATGCATATTTCACGCATTAGTGATTAAAATCAATTTGAAGAGAGTGAAACAAAATGTCATTTGGCGGACGACATCTGAATTTCAAAGATAAAATTCACATTTCTAAAAAGTTGAGTTTCTGCCCTTTCATATGACACCTCAATCAGGAAAAATGAGCAAGGAATAACAAAGTTCTGTTTGTTTAAAGTATTGCTTGCATTTCCATAATTTTATTAAACGAATTCGATTTCACTGGCTGCCTGACGTATCACAAAACGATATTGACAGCCAGGAATCAGCCATGCATGAAGTCTTTCGTCTACGGCTGATTGTCAACGAAACGGAGTTAAGTCTTTTGTCAATTCTGCTTTTTGCTACGGCAGGCAGCCAGTGAAAACGAATTGTTTTCTAAAATTATGAAAATATAAGGGCTACTTTAAACAAACAGAACTTTGTTATTCCTAGCTCATTTTTCCTGATTAAGGTGTCATATGAAAGGGCAGAAACCCAACTTTCTAGAAATATGATTTTCTCTCTGAAATTAAGATACCGCCCGCCAAATGACTTTTCGGTTTCCTCTCTTCAAATTGATTTTAATCACTCATGCGTGAAATATGCATCATATGAGTTGCATCAGATATAAGAGGAGGATCTAAGCTTTCCAAATATGTGACATTTATTAATTATAAATGTGATTAAGTTATGATAAAACATCGATAACTCTCGGTTTCGTTTTTTCTAGGACGCACTGTATATACATGTACATAATGTAGGCAAAGCCAACAATTATTGAATAAGAATCATATTTTTTTAAAACCAAGCGGTCAGGATGCGTTTTCTTCCATAGCATAAAGCCATCACCCCCACTGCACTTTCATCACCATTATCATGATGATCTCCATCATCTCCGTCGTCGGTGTCGTCATTTCCATTTTCTTTCATCATTCTCATCATCATCACTATCTTCTGAATCAGTACTACTACCATTGTTTCCATTGTCTCCACGCCACCATTAACTTCATCACCACCGCTATCATTACCATCACTAGTTTGTCTCTATCACTTCTAGATAAATGACCGCATTGTCAAACATAGTTCAATTCAACGGACATTCAATTCTTTGTAAATAATCATTTGATCGAGACGATCAGGGGGGCGTTTCACAAAACTTGTCATTAGTGACAAATGACAATTTTTGTTATAAGCTACTGAAATCCTTGCTTCTGATTGGTTTATCAGCAGATTTGTCACTGATTTGTGTCAATTGTCATTGAAAAAAGACTTTGTGAACCCCCCCCCCCCTCCCCCAAGGTTTTTACCTGATCCTCCCATGGCATAAAGACGGTTGCTATGAGGTGCCAATGCTACACATCGCCTAGGATCACTGAGGCTGTCGACGGCTTCCCATACATCTCGACATGGATCATATCGCTCTACAGCTGATAGAGAGGTCTTATCATCAACCCTGCCTCCTTAAAAGATAAATATCACATATTGTTATATGAATGCTTTTACATTGAAAAATGTACCACATCCCTATTATGTTGTACGTTTACTTTATATATATTCCATATAATTCCGCACTCAGGCCTCCATTTTGATTTCTTATATACACCATTTAAATTCATTTCGATTCGAGAACTCTCAATTATATTGTGAAAAAGTTGCAAATTTCTATTGCAAGTGTGCAATTATTACGACAAATTAATAAAACGGTAGGGCAATTTCTATAACCTATATAAAAGCAGCTTTGAATTGCATAATATGTTATTATAATTTTTTAATAAACTTCCTCCCTCAATTCAATCAACCAAATCAATTCAAATATATGAGCGCGGGTGACAATTGGCAAAGCATTTATTATAGTAGAATCTCCGTTCTTATTTCCCTCTACCGGTATAATATTTTTTCTTATGTTATATTTGTTTGTACTCTATTATTTTGTCAAATATTTCAATGTTTAGTTTTGATGAATGTTATATTTTTATATATTCCTTGTATTTTTTTTGTATATCACAAACTTGTTATGTCGTTCTAGAGGGCGTACTTGGAAAGCATTTATTTAAACTGAATGTACCTACCCTCTATTTTGAATAAAACTGGAATAAATGAATAAATAAAATCTCACATTTCAATGGGTGGACTAGTATTAAAGTTGATTTTCGTTTTCGAAAGTATTTGCGTTCGTGTTACATGTATTTTACACATTTGCCGAGGATTATTGGATACTATAAATAAAAGATTCTAGTCGGGGGGCCGCCCATGCCCCTCAAGCACATAAGTTCATCAAAACATTGCTGGCGACGCCCCTATCTAACCAAATAAAGACTTACCAACTGCGTAGATTTTTCCATTCAGGACACCCAACTGAAAGCTCTCTCTCGCATCGATCATATCAGCTACATGAAGCCAGACATTGGTACGTGGATCGTAACGGTGGGTGGAGCGAAGGGGTTTCCCCGCTGGTGTTGTTTCTCTTCCACCAGCTATGTATAAAAACCCGCCCAGAGTTGCAGCTGCATGGCATGGAAGCAGAATATGTTGGAAATAAAAGCATTGGGCAATCTCATTCGGTTCTAGGTATGGAACAGTCATTACAAAGAATATACATTGTTATGTGAAGATGAATTCTATGTAAGCTCACCGCCATAACAAACATATATTTCGACGTGGGGTGACTAATTATTATTATTATTATTATTTATATACTGCGCTTTTCCCAGAGCGGCCCAAAGCGCTTACAACAAGAAGAATCCTACAAAAGTGAATGAAAACTTACAGAATCCTAAAAATCTGGATTACAAAAAAGAAATGAATGAAGAGACAGATGGTGATGGTGACGAATCCATGACATGAGTATATAATTATATGCGTGTACATTATGCTGAAAGTATATATATATATATATATATATATATATATATATAATCAGCATAACACTCGTTACATATTTCTTTGTTGTTGTTTTTTTTTTATATGGAAGGAGAATTGAGAAAGCTTTGTATAATCATGTTCATCTCTCTCTGACTACTGAATCCATTGCACTGATTTGAGGGTGATGAGACTGTAACATTTGAGGGTGACGAAATTGACAAAACATTTGAGGATGACGAAATTGACAAATTATTTGAGGGTGACGAAATTGACAAAACATTTGAGGGTGACGAAAATGACAAAACATTTGAGGGTGACTAAATTGACAAAGCTTTAAATAGACACCTATGGCAAACCTCGACCCCCTTCTCTTTCTCTCTCTCTCTCTCTATCTCTCTCTCTCTCCATCCCTCCCCTCTCTCTCTCTCTCTCTCTCTCTCCCCCATAATAAGAATGATGTAACAAACCTGCGTGGTGGTGCCTCGGATGTTCCATCGTCGTCAGCGGCGCCCATTCCTTGGACGTCGGATTATAAAACATGACGTCACAACCAACGGGATCTTTGGACCGTCGCGGCTGACCACCGAGGGCAATAGGCGTCGAGATGCGGACAGACGACCTCGGAACCGTTCGGGACGACTGCAGCACACTCTGACGATGAGGGAGACAGTGGTAGTGGAGGGCCTCTTTCACCAGCAGCTCGCAGTGAGGGTGTCTCATGATGTACGGTACACTCTCTACGAAATCGACGAGCGCCGTGGGCGTAATCATGGGAAGTCGGACTCGACGCATTAGCGGCACCAGATAAGGCAGTCTACCACCGATATCGTATTCTAACCAACGAGTGCACGCATGAAACACCTACCAAAGAAACAAGAGGGGAGCAGAAGAGATTGGAGGGGGGGGGGGGGTGAAGGTGTAAATGCCCATTTTATTCTTCGTCTGAGATCATAATTATGGAATATGAAAGGCCAATGCAAACATATACATCCTAACAATTTGCATAATTGACTCGTTTTCCTTTTCTTGGTTTTATCATCATGAAGATTTGTCATCAAGATTTCATTTCGAATATATTTGATTTATCTTTCGATCAAACCTTTCTTCTATGGGCAAGGTCAACATACGTGCTAATTTAAGAAAGCATATAGCATAGTAGAACTAATGTAAAAATGTTCATTTACATGTATATCAATAATATTCTAATTCATTTAGCAAGTGAATATCTTAATGACACCCTCCATATATACGAAACAGCTAATAACGGGATGCGATTTAATTATTTTTATGAGCCTATGTATTTCATGTTTCTCTTCATAGTATGTAATTTGATAATGGCTATGGTGCTTTTGATTTTAGCGCTATATACTAGGTGATCGATATTATTTTACTGTATGCCTCATACTTTACTAATGATAATATTACTTATATTTGTTTATTTGTTCCTACCTCTAATTCGTCATCCACATGTAGATCATCTCTCGTCACCAGAAAAAGCAGGGTCTCTTCGGATAAATCCAAGAACTCCTGTGTGGTAGAAAGTTCTACGAAGTGACTCGCCACCTGCTGGCACGCCCTTTTGAAAATATCCTCCATGTCGAAAGAAATAGCCACCGACAGCGTCCGGAGGCAAGTCTTTGAAGTGAGGTTCTCGAGTAAGAAGCTCATGCACGCGTCTAACGCCGTTTGTATTCTTAGATAAAGCGCGGCGTTTAGAAGTTCATCGATGTTTTCATAAGTGACGTCTAGACCCGAGGTGTACAGTGACTCTAGGAGAATCTTGATGATTTCGTGACTCACACCATGTAAGGTGTATACGAATTGCTCTCCATCAGAGTCCGGGTCGTCTTCCTCTGACGTGAATAGATCGCAGAAGTACCCGCTGCAGGCTGCTAAGATGAGCCTGTGAGCGCCGACGCGATGGTGCCCCACGACGAGCACCACGTCCTGCATTCGTTTCTTACGCCAAAGAGCGGTGACGGCATCCAAGATCTTGGTAGCGTGATCGGCTCCAGCCTGCACGTTCAAATTGGATGCCTCGGCGACGGTACTCAGCCGGGAAATTTTACTAGGTAAGATACCGGTGGTCGCCGGTCGTCTGTACTTGTCCTTCTGTTCATAGTCCTGGCTTACTGGAATTCTCCTCGATATTTGCGGGGGCATTCGGTTCGTATGTTGGGCACTATCGGGTTTCTTTCCTATTTGCTTGATTTGCTGTTTTTGTTTCGTATTTTGAGCTTTGGGCTTCCTCTTATCCTTTGTTGCATTCATATTTGCTTTGGGTTTATACATTTCTTATCAAACTTAGCGGTGTTTTCATTCTGGTCCATTTGGGTGGACGACTTCTCTTCCTACTCCATCTGGACATTTCTTATGTTTTGAATCCAAACTTGGTCTGCGTCGTCATGCAAAGCACACCGAGCGCGTATTAAAATTGCGTCATAATCATACATTGTTACGTCATAACAGGGTTTTATCTGCATGGTTTACCTTTATAACTTTCTATTCGAATCTGTGGTCTCAAATGCATTCGTTTATTTGTAATGTTTTTATTCCTGTTTATTTAAATTTCCCATGAATTAAAAAAAGGTCATTAGATCTACATCGGTAGGGTCATTTCGTGAGCGTCAACATTGGAGGTCAAGAAAGAGAGATAGAAAGAAAGCTGGAAAAGTGAAACAGCAGACCAGGCAAGCAAAGAGGAAACTCTAAGAAATTCACGAAATCATCTTTGTCTCCTAAAACCCCCGCCCTAAAATTGATTGACGGTGATTTTCGAAATGAACTTAGAATGTAGTTCTGCGAAGAAAAAGAATTCCTATCTCAATTTTTTTTCCTCCAAACTATTGCCGAAATATTTGTAGAACCATCGTCATTTTATCAATAAAGTTGTCTTTTGTGTGCGGTGGAGGATCCTCCCCACCCACCCCCCCCCCCCCCCCCCCCCCCCATAAAAAAAAAACAGGCAAGTAAAAGGAAGTGTAAGAGAGAGGCTCAAACTTCCTTGTGATTTAGGTGTCTAAGCCGTCTTCCAGAGTAATAAGGGGTATATTTTCTTTTTGTACTTGATGTGTCCTTTAGTTTGGGCTGTGCCTCTACCCCCCCCCCCCCCGGATCCACCACCAATATGGACAATTTTATAGTGTAACTCACTAATAATGCCGATTGTTACTTAAGTATTTTATATGTAATGCAGTGTAGGCTATTCATATTCTATATCCTGTTAAAATTATGTTTTTAACACGTTATCAATTCGTTATCAAACTTTTCATCAATCTTTACCAAAGCTACACAAATAGTAACCTATCATTATTCTGCCCTTTCTTTTGTCTTCTCTCATTTTGCCTCTCTCTCTCTCTCTCCCGCAAACTGATAACGAATAAACCTACCCATGTGCTGTATATCACAAATTCCTGATAAATACGATAAAATGCCTCATGGAACATGTTATTGTGTTATCTTTTTTTTTTAAGCATCTGAATAGTGTCACAACCAGAGGATATATTACTTAGAGTTAACCTTTATCATGGATTAATTTCACGAATTTGTACTTCATTCCAGGAACCAAATATAGATTTGATCCCACAAGTACAAAATGAATCAAATATATTTTTTTAGGAATAGTGCAGGAGACTAGAAATCATTCAACTCATTTTATTTACGTGGTCTACACTAGACAAAATTATAAATGCAGAATCATATATTTATTGTGTAAAAACAACTGTGTTGTTTCAAAGTTTATTAACGTCAAATCAACGTATTTTACATCTTTTTCAAACTGATATAAAAACAAAAATCTAATATCTAGTTTTTCAAATCATAATAATCATGTAATGTGGCTTTTCTTTGCAACACTGAATAAACATCCCGCCATGGTCTGCTTTTAAAAGCGTCATTCAGGCAGGGTGTTCTCTTGCGTTTACAAAGCAGCTATATTGAAAAAAAAGTTGAACACTAAATATTACCGATCATCCTAACTACATGAACAACAAAACTCGAATGGTTAAGGACTGTAAGATGTTTCATATTGAGCAAAACGTTAAAGTGATTATCCTTCTCTCGCGGCTGATAAAATAAAATCCTCAAATGATTTGGCTATATTTCTCTGGTCTGCACTATCTCTTGCATTGATGCTCACGCCTACTTTCACCACAGACTGATGAAGGGATTAACACGTTGTACATCGTGAGACGTTACAAGACAATTGTGGTGTCTTTAAACAAGCGTGGTGGTTAGGACCGCCACTGTGAGAAGCGTGGCAGAAACGACATTGATGCAACCACCACTCTCGGGTTCCTCTGTAACCTCCGTCTCGTGGACATCAGCTGACAATAGAAGAGAAAATGGAGGGAAAATGCTTTGATGATATATTGAGAAAAAAAATGGGGGTCAGGGGTAGGCAATAATGGATTCTGAAGACATTTTATCGCCACATCTCAATATTGTCGGCAATTGTGAGTCGATCATTAAAAACTATCTGAAAGGGTATTATTATCGAGAGTCCCGCCGGGAACCCCACTTGCATCTAATAAAATCAATCATCTGTACATATACAAAACCTGAAAATTGATTTTTAATTTTTAATACCAAATCAGTATTTTGGGATCATTGGGTGGATTTTGAAGGATAAGCGAAGCCTTCCAGGTTTGTTATTATACTAGTCATTTGTTCATGTTTAAACGAGGTAAATGCGACTTTAAATGCCAATTCCATTAAGTCAATGATTGCCTACAAATGTGCTGACTGAATGGATACAAATTAATGTATTAATGTATTCACAACGAAGCAAAATCAACCGAAAAATTCAAGCGAAGATCATAATCATTGCATTTTCTACCATGCTTTTGAAACCTTTATTTAAACAGTCGATTTGTGTTTTCATACTAGGTCTATCTTACATTATATTTCCAATGACATATCAATTCATATACATGTATTAAAGGCACAACATGTAGGTATTATCCCCGGCATATTCCCCTCCCCTCCCCTACACTTACTTGGGGCATCAGTCGGCTCGTGTGTACCTATAAGTAAAACGGTAGGGTAAAATAAATAAAATGTTACAATGATTAATGATCTAAGTGAATTTATCATAAAGGAGAAATGTTTGAATTCACTATGGCAGACACGTTTACTTAAATCGTCAAAGTGAAAAGAAAAATAGTATATCATTTGTATACTATGTACTCCCTTCAACGATAGTATAAGCCCAACTAATAAAAAAGCATTCATTTTCATTACGTTATTGTATCGGGCTGTTTAAAAAAAAGCAATCACACACGTTAGAGTGAGATCTTCCTGTATCCCCCCCCCCCCCTCCTTCTCTTTCAAGTTTCAGGCTATATTGCGAATGGTAGCTCATTCTGTCAATGATATCTTTGATGTAATGGAAAAGAAAAGGATTAGAAGGAGAAGAAAAGAAAAGAAAAGAAAAGAAGAGGAAGAAGAAGTGAAAGAAAAAAACATTTGCAAGGTATATTGACAAAGAGGTGACGCTAACTTTATTGAGAGATTGTTGACTTACCTTCTTCAGCCGCCACAGTCATCTCCTCATCTACGGTAACTACAGGGAATGAAATAGGAATCATGGTCAGATTGAATTCCATGAGCTACAATTTTTTTTTAACCGATCGATTCTCTGGAGGATAAACCGGTAGTACGTTTTACATATTTCCCCTGAATTTTACATATGGGTTCTCAATGAATCATCAACAACAAAAATATAATGTTACATTTTTTAAATTATTGGCAATTTCTATATTTCAAATTATGGTTAAGATGTTAATTTTTTGCACTCGAAAAATGTGAGCAAAAGTTTATTTCAGGCTGAGAGTAACGAGCAAATCAAATTTTGTTCATACTTTGTCATCCATTGTACCTGATCGTGTGACCTTACCGCTTACAAGTAACCTTTTAAATTTTACTGTATAAAATATCACTGACGAATCTACTTTAAAGAAAACATTTCGCCCCCCCCCCCTCCACCATTTTCAGGCTTTTCGTATGACTTCAGACACATCTGTATAAAAAGGGAGGAAACCGTTGTCTAAATGGGCTTTCCTTTTGCAAACTTTCAACTGATTTTCATTTTGTATGAAATAAACATTTCTAGTGAGAAATCTGTCTGAATCACATCTATTGTGCCTTTCACACCACCTACATGTAGTTAGTAAAAACGTGTTGAAAAGTTTATTTGCATACGATGCCCTACAAAATCTTATACTGACTAGGCCAACATATTTCCCTATAATATTTCTATTCTTTTTTTTTTGTTGCTTGTTAAACTGTTTGCCGAGGTGTATTTATACCCATACCTGTAACCGTGGGTGTGTCTCCAGTTTGTGCATTGATTGTCCACATTACACAGCATGCGACTAAAAGCCGCAATGCGAGGCAAGCGGGTGACGATGAGCTCTTCATAGCTGTTTGATTCTGTAATAAGGAATGAGGAAATGAAGAAAAGAAACATATCTATCTAAGTAATAATTTTTCAATGAATCCCGTTCTACACTGTAAATTTGACAGGACTAAAATACAATCTTACGGTCTGTCCGGACAGGTCGTGTATCCGGGCAGTTGATTAAAAACAGCAATTTGAAGAAGTTTGCAAGGATTATGTCATAAATCTTCTAAAAAATTGTACTTCCAGAATAAGTAATTGAAATTTGATTTCAATGCGTCAAATAAAATCATCACATTTGAACAATCTAAGTCGTTGGGTGTCTGGGCATGTTGTGTATCCAAGGGGCGGATCCATGGGGGGGGGGGGGGTTGTGGTAACGTTAATTTTACCGTTTTAAAGCAAATAATGAAAATGCCCCCCCCCCCCCTACAAAAAAGGGGAAAAAGGGAAGAAAAAATGATTTTCTGGTGTTTTTAGTTACTTTTTGCCCGATTATTGCCGGGGTGGGGGGCTACTCCCCCCCCCCCCCGGATTCTAAGCCAAAGCCATGAATCACCGAGCATATCTTTCAAGCTCTTTCTTGCCATATTGTTTACCCAAATACTACCCTAATCATTATTTATCCGACTCATTTATTATTGAGTCGGAGGCTCAAGATGAGCTATTGCCGTCCGCCCACGTCCGTCGTCCGTAAACCTTTACATTTTTATCTTTTTCTTGAATAACACATGGTCATATTTAACCAAACTTGGCATGATTTATCCTTAGGGTCAGGGAATCCAAAGTTGTTCAGATAGTAAACGTGGCCTCAATGGGGACCCAGAGGGAGGGCCCCAAAGGGCCAACACTATGTACATTTCGAACAGCTTCTCCAGATCCAAAAGTGGAACAGTCAAGTTATATTGTGTAGATATCTTCTTAAGTAAAGAATACAACTTATTCAATTCAATTTCAATTCAAAAATGGTTTATATTATAGTAGAAACATGGTTCATACAAATACAATTTTACATGAAGGACAGCCTTGGCTGGAATATTCATGTTTACATGTTCGGCACAATAGATAACACTTTTATATACATGTAAAAAAACTAGCAATATCAAAAATAAGACTTAGATTCTGTAACTAAAATCCATGAACACATTGCACAAGTTTTCAGAAATACAGCTGTAATTGTTTACAAATGTCCTATAAAAGACATCCATGACAGTTCCAGGGGTGGCCCAATTCGGTCCATGAGAGGGTAACAGGAAGGGGGGGGGGGGCATAGGAAACGTACTTGTTTCATCTACGTAGGCCTAGACTATTACTTCAAAAACCATGGTCAAACTTTAACCAAAATGTGGCAAGAATTATCCTTAGCAGCAGGAAATGCAAGTCCAAGTCGTATATATGGCCCTCATGGTGGCTCAAAAAGAGGGCCCAAAGACCATAACTAGGGGTCTATAGTAAACTCTAACTCCAGAAGCCAGTATACTGTATAGTCAAATAATGTTTGCCAAAAAATTATAGATTCACCTAGATCTAGTCTAGGGTGAATAATTTTGTTTGTTTTAATGCTTGGCAGTGTGCATGGTGGCCGGAATGTCACATTTTTGTGTTCTTCTCAGAAGAGTTTGGTTAGAATTTCATCAAATTTCATATGAATCATCCATAGTCTAGACCTAGGGCAAGAAGGTAGAACCCGAAGTCCAAAGGTAAGCAAGGTTTAACATAGATCTAGATGAGTAGATCTAGTCTAGTCTACATTCAAATTTTCCTGATGACAAGAAATGGCAAATTTAATAGATCCAGGGCAGTGGCAGTAGGGACTAGTCTAGGTTTTCAATTTGTTTTCAATTGATGACATAGTCTAGAGCAGTAGAGGGTCTACCCCTAGCTCACCTCATGGAGCTTGTGTCAAATGGGAATTAAATTTAAACTCAGGAGTCAGGGCTCAGGCGAGTGGTAAGCTCTTGTTTTTTTTTAGGAGGGGGGGGGGGCACAGTCTTCTTGCTTAATCAGCAATTCCACCTCATCCTACTCATAGATCTACTCATACTACTAGTCATACTCATAGTCATACTCATAGTCATACTCGTGCTTAGCTCTAGTCATACGCCTTTGCCCTCTGTATAGGCTAGACCCTCAGAATAGATCTAGACTCTAGATGATAGTCTGTCTAGACTAGATCTAGATCTATCATCTAGGCTTCTAGATCTAGAAATCTAACTCCACAATTAATTTTGCAATGGCGCGTGATAAAGCCAGTGTCAGTGAACAACTTTTGAAACCTCAACATTTTGGCTAAAGTAACAACAACACACACACACACACACACACAAGAAAAAAAGAAACACAATTGTATCAACTCAACTAGGTCTAGACTAGGCCTAGATCTAGACTAGATTGAAATTTCTGTCAACATACGAAAGAGACAAAAACTTCGGTCTAGCCTAGACTCGACTCGACTAGAATCTAGGGCGGCTCTCACATTTCATCTCGAGGCCGGGCGCGATCGAGCTAACTGGCTAGTCTGCATTCAGCATGCATGGTCTATGCAAATGATCTATGACGTGCGCGACGCGCAATAAGGGTCAATGTAAAGTGACCTTCTTGTGCACACGCGCTCGCGCATGACCTTAGTTTTAAATTTCATTCAGTCATTCAATTTCAAGATTAATGCATGCAAATACGAACTTAAGTGGTTAATAAATAACTAGATCGGCGCCACTTCTAGATCTAGGGCAAGTGAACGTTAATCTTCACTTTAGTCTTTATTCTGGAGTACGAGTCTCGATGAGGAATCTGAGAGCGCTCATTTGGTTGGCGCTCGCTGTCGATTCTAGATCTATAATCTAGCGCAGGCTAGGCATGGCGGCCAAGATGGCAAGGGCCTGCCATTGCCGTTGCCGAACAGAATTTTCAATTGACTTTTTTGACATTCATGGATTTGTTTTATGTATTAATCGATCTAGGCCCAAAACACGTCCAGATCAAGCCACGATTATCACTTTTGTACATAAAATGATTGTGAAAACTTACCGTTACAGGTATAGGGCTAAAATTCGTATGATTCGCTGATCAAATCTCTGGCCAGAAGGATTGTTCTCTCTTCGAAAATAAATATACATGCGCGTTATTAATTTGCGCATGCGCGGCGCATGCGCAATTAATAGCGCGCGCCCCATATTTATATCATTTAATTTATGCATAAGTTTAGCGCATGTACGTACAGCATACTTCGGTTAGGATTGGCAAGGACAAGAATTGACTGATTTACGTAAAGTAATAATGTGCTGTCACCCGGAGCACCTTGCTACGCTCTTTTATGACTGAAAGAAGGGAAAAGAAAAAGAAAAGGGTAGACCTAGGGATTATAATTTTTTTATGCCAGTCACTTCTGACATTTTTCACTTCTCAGTTCCCCTCCTTCTATCTTATTAACTCTGCCTGGCCATGCAGGTCGGAGACCTTTAAAAACATTTCCGAGTGCGGCATATAATACTCCACGGTTTGATTACGGCCACGAGGCGGTGAATCCAGAAAGTAACCATGACCCATCGTTTTACCGTGAGAATAATGCCCCTTTCCCTTTTGAGAGCATAATCGTCCCCCTTTCAATGTGGCTCTTATAAACTGCCCCTTTTTCTGAAATAGTCATTTAGTATAAGAAATGCTCCTAATGTTTCATAATGCAATGTGCCCCACTCTCAACTGTAACGTAAAGAGCCCTAATCAAGGCTGCTAAAAGGGGCACTTCAGTTTTAAAGTTATATGAATTATTATTGGCCCTGTAATAATGAGTTAACATACATCACTTGAGTTGTAAAAATCTATTGATTTTCTGCATTGAAAATTAGCCGTAAACTTTCAATGATATTTATTTTTATGAAACTCAATTGATTGTAAACATTATTGATTGGAAACATTTTTGGGAGCTACAATCCATTGAAACGCTTCATGGACGAATAATCTTTCGACCCATATTATTATTTCATTTTTTAAAATAATTATCATTATTATTATTATTATAATTCAATTCAAAGTTCAATTCAATTATTATTATCATCATCATCATAATTATTCATATTACCATTAGCAGTATATAGCGGCTTTGAACCCATTCTCGGCTCTCTCTCTCTCTCTCTCTGTGCCTCGATCCCTCCCCCCTCCCCCCTCTCTCTTTTTTTTTCTCTCTCTCTCTCTCTCTCTCTCTCACTTTCTCTCTTTCTTCCCAGTTCCGATAGATACAGTAAAGGAAACCTCACCCCAACGAATATTCAAGAGATATAGGCCTAAATATAAGGATATCTTGGCATGATCATTATTTTGTTTTACCTTGACATAGTGGCCGATAAAGAGGAGCAGTCCCGTAGCCAGAGTTTGATGTTTGGAAGAAGAAAACAAATTGGGGGGGGGGGGGGGACACGCCTTAGTAGGGCCTCTTGTATATAGGTTGCACGAGTACGATTTTTTTGTTTGTCTTCATTTTTTTCTGTCTCTCTTTCCCTTTTCTATTCTTTTCTTTTTTTCCCTTTTTGTTCCTTCACTCTCTCTTTTCCTAGGCCGTCAAGGGTGGGGGGGGGGGGCAATTCGCCCCCTCCCCTGAATCCGCCTCTGTGACATCACGGGAACGCAGCTTTTTTTCTTGATAATGACATTCGGACGATTTTCATTTACCTCTCTTGCCGACCCTCTTAGCTCAAAAAACATTTATATATATATATGAAGGTCCAAAATTTTGGAATTTCTTAAGTAATGAAATTTAAATAAAATGCTCCATCGATTTATACTTTTAAGGGGGAAAAAAAATGATTTTTTTTTTTTTTTTTTTTTTTTAATTTTTTTTTTAAAAATTACAATCATAATGCTCATTGAAGTATATGTCATTTTTTTTGTTTTTGTTTGATACAAGCAGTTGAAATATCTATTTCATTTATGCGAAACCTTCCCTTCCTCCCAGAAGTCATTTGCGTTCTGACAAGTCTAATACAAAAGATAACATATAACGGGTGAATTATTTCATCATCACACACGCGTAGGAAGGAAGCATCCATAAATTTGAATAACTGTACTTGATAAACGACTTCGCATAGTACGTCACGTTATCAAGAAAATGGAGATGCCTATGTCATGCTAAAAAAAACATTATGCCAAGTTTATACATCTCTTTTCCCATTCGGTGGGGAATCTTGGAGACCAATAGGCAATAATACAATTTACATCTCTAAACTTAAATGATATTTCGAAGTTAGATTTCGCTGTAACAACTTCTTCATCGTTTCAGCATTTTGTATAATTATGTTCCTTTGTTGAGGCTGTGTGGTGTTAATGGTTTGATGTTCTTGACTCTCAAACTCCATCTGGTCTGTCTCGCTCTTTCTATCTCTCTTCTCTCCTCTCTCTCTCTCTCTCTCTCTCATTCTCTCTCTATCTTAACTTCCCTCCCCTCATACCTTTCTCTCACTCCAAACTAAAATATGCCACTTCCTTTTTAATTAACAAGTAATTTTAAGAAATAAAACATTCAACATACACCAAAAACTACTCATTATTCATTAAATCAGACCTACTCTACAATAGACACTCCTCTCAGACAATTCTTTTTCTTTCATTTTTTGCATTTATTGCAATAACATTAAAAAATGGGCTTTGCAATTTATTTACATGATCAGCATATACATCTCTTACGGACATACTTGTTCAAAGTTAAAAAAACTCCTTGAAAGTTACAAAACAGGACAAGATTAAGCGAACAGTGATAGCTAAAGAAAAGAGGCTGGATTCAATCCAATTAGATTTCGTCGATCCTTCGAGCCTTGGAAGCAACATAATTCTTCCTAATTGAAAGCAAGCTTTCCAAATCAGACTTCCTATTTCATTACCTTCTTATTAACAGTTAATTTTCACACTAAAATTCCTCAATTCTTTGAATTACTTGAAATTCATTTCGTGATTTTCTGGGGTTTACGTTGCTTTTTTGCTCGTATTTTATGATTATTCACATTAAATTCAACACATAATGTCCCGTCTCTTAGATGTTAAATAATCACTTTCTGCATAGAGGTTCTTCCTTTAGCTTAAACATACCTATGAAAGGCAAATGACAGTTACAAAAATAAAGTTTAGTCTGGGCAATAAACCACAAGTTATTTCTGGTGTAGTTTTGTCCTATAATATTCATTAAATCTTATATACATAATATTCAATATGTCTCTTTCATTTACATTTTGGTGACTTATGAAGTACCAAAAATAAACCTTTTCCATTCACAAGATGCAGTTAATAAATTTCTAACTGCAACTTGATACATTTCTAACCACAAGTTAATCTTTTTCGACCCACTCCTCCAGGCCATCACATTGGAATCTAAGTAAAAATTATAATAATAAAGCATTTGGCAAAATTAAGAGATCATGAAAACAAAGGCTTTCAAAAAAAATTCAAAGAATACAATAGACTTCAGCACTTATCTACAAAATGAATACCATCGAAATGACAAAGAATATATTGTGATGACCATCACAAAAACAATAGAATACTACGTAAAACTTAAAAAGAGCTTCCCTAGTACTTTGGTAAAATATGCGAACCTTCATTCATTCTTTCATACATGTATCTAAAGTACACTCGCATTTGGTGACATACTGTGTATATATGCTAATGTGGTGGGTTTCAAATTCTAATATAAAATTCCGTCTACAGTAAATATGCTTCATGTTTTTCTGGGTATATCCCACATCTTGAACAAGTAGAAATATACTTGATAGAAACATAGAAAATGGAGATGTATTTTTTTATTTCTTTTTATCTGCCAACAGCCATAAGAGCTGAGAGCAATGCACAAAGTCAAAGCCCTTACAGCTCTAACGCATTCTGTACAGTGCAATTCTGAAACCAGAGTAGTGCTAATATACATCTCAACAAAAGATGCTGTATATATATACCATGGACCTACTATAACCCACTCGTACTAACAGTGTCATACACCTATCTATTTATTTGTAAAACATTGTTTTTTAGAAGTAGTCTCTTTTTTTTATACACAGAATAAGAGTGGAAGACACAAAATTTTGTTTGGACGAGTTGATAAAGATGAAGAATGCATTTTTTGTTTAAATGAGAAGAAAGCTAAATACTATTTTTTAGGGGGTGTGAGAAGCTAACGCTAGCATTCCTAACTACAAATGATGACTGGGTACAGTGCTGAGATGCATATAACACATGTGAAAGACAAAAGGCTTAATACTGGTGTGTATATAATCATCCCAGTAATAATACCAACACAACAACATATTTTCTACAATTCTCATACATAAATCAAAGTTTTGCCATCTTCCTCAAGTTCAATAGCAAAGCTAATGTACGCGAGACTTCGGGGATAAAAATGCATCATTGATGATTGGTAGGAACTTGCGTATGTAGCAGCATTACATAAACCTACAAAATATAACAGACATCATAACTTATCGACTAAAAACTTTGTATGCAAAAGTATAAAGTGGCAGTGAATACAAAGGTTATTTCAACGATAACAAAATTGCAACAAAGAAATAGCATGAATGAGCAGTGTTTTGTAAAATATTGTTCATTTAAGATTCTTGAGTGAAATTTAAAACATAGCAGAGAAAAATTGTTTGTGTTTTTTTTTAATTCGATTTCAATTAAAGGAGGCTTATTAAGAAGTCTGAACTAAAAATTCATTCTACAAGCTTAAAATCATGTTATACTAGTTTATAAAATTAAGCTCTTAAAAACATTTGGAATGTGGGATTTCTGTACACTGAATACAACATATAAAATATTTGCCTTTTCAAAGGGATATTATTTCATACAATATTCTTCAACAATACACACAACATAAAATCTTGCACCATTTTCTCACAAAATATGCATCAATCTGTATACAGTTTTAAAAAATACAAACATTTTTGGTAAACTAGCCCAGAAGTGTTTGTTTTCAAAGATCTGAACTGCAACAATGTTACCGTTAATCCCTCCACCAACCACTCAATATGGGCGGTCTTCTGCAAATGCTAAACTGAGATATCAAATCTGTTAGAGGGTAATTAGTATGCTTCAATCATCACTTACAGTGTTTTGTACCTTGTTAGTGCAATAATTCATTGAGAAATGTCAAAAAGCATTCAAACGGAATAATATGAATTTAGTTTAAATTCAAAGTCACAAACACATTTATCTTGGTCACAAACAGAAATTAAACTTAATTGAGAGACTCGTACAAACAGGCATGTGAGCAGAGAGGGTTGTGTTGTAATCGTATCCTTAATTTCTCATCACTTTTTCACCAAAATGATATACTATATACTAAAATACTATTTTCTTTTAACCTGCTTTATAAAATACATTATTTATAAAATCGGAGTGTTTTTGCCTCACAGTAGGAGTATGTGTGCATCTTTTAGTCTTGTTAGACCATATTAGACACATGCCAGATATCAGTTTTAATAGTATGACTACATACTATATTTGTTACCACAGGATGTTATCTAAATTTCTGGATCGTGATCGTGCGATTTGCTTTCAAATGAGTGACCGTTTATCAAGCCATGTTTATCAGTGTACTATTTCAGCAGTTTTGCTTCTATTAACAAACAACCCCTTCCCTCACAAATCTGTTTAATACTAGCAGAGCTATTTCTAAGAAAAGAACTACTACTACATCTCTAGGATAGAACATAATTACTCACAAGAAATTGCATAGGTGTGGGCAAAAGTGCAGATAGCGTTAAATCTGCATTGCATATCACATTCAAACATTAGAATCACTTCTAACCTCTAACCTAATTAGCCCCCATTTGTATCAATGCAGCTAAAAGAATTTTAAAGTGTATTTGTATGCAGTGATGTGTTTAAATCCCTAGTCCTTGCTGAATCGCCATAGTTGTGATGTAAGAAATGGTCGACTGTGTTCACACAGTATAGCCAATCTAAGGCAGGGGTACAAGACACACATAACGCTATACTCTGGGTTTAAACAAATAATCATTCCCAATCGTTAAAATTGGTCTACATTTGAAAATAGAGCAAAATTCTATGGTTAAAAAATATTAGGAATAGTTTTTATTTTTTCTACAATATTTTTTTCAACTAATTTTTTTTAATTTTTCTCCACATTTTTAAAAATATTTGCACAATTCCCCACTTCTTCTGATCATCACAGTTCAACCACTATCTTGATCCATAGAGTCTTCACCTCAAGACTAACTAACTTCATCATGTTTTCAATCCAATTTAACTGGAAGTTGGCAGTCAACAGAGGAGTTGCGTAACTCTTTATGTCCTCTTAACTTTGAGAGTATACATCAAAATATTGGGTGGAAGTGTTTATCTTCCACATACCACTTTCTCTCCAGCATTGGACAAGTGTCCGGTTTCTTGAAGAATGTTAAGACAGAGTTCTAATGATGTTCATTCTGACATTCATTGTTCAGCTTCTTCCTTTTTCTCTTCTCAAGTGGAATGTTCAAACATTTGAGGCAATGCTTTCCAGGAGATGGGTAAGAATACTAACTCCACCCAGCAGTTTATAGATTTCTCAGCTTGCTCGGTGAAACAGTAGAAACGGCGTGCGGCGCATCCACATTACATAATGTGCAACGATTGCGTATTACTGTGTGCTAGCATTACCATGGCAATAGATGGAACAGAGAACTTGCTTACACTGTTTCTTTTGAATCATGATGAACAGTCTCCAACGATACCTGCACGCATTGCATTGCATTGGCTCGGCTCCAGCCAGCGACGCCAGATTAAAGAGCTGTGATTCTTAAACATTCACAATGTTTATGGCTTGTTCCATCGAGGAATGAGTGCTTCAATCACACAGAGTACTGCTACAAGTCTTTTTCAGAGAGATAAATCTCCCAGCTCTTCGTTAGACTGGGTCCGTTGAGGATGCTCTCCGTTGGGTTGACCCTGACGGTGGTCTAATAGTCATACCAGCTCCTCACCGGCCATCCTGGGCTGCCACACATCATCATCGTACATCTCACTGTCCGAAGCACCCGATGGTCTCCTATCCTCCGCCGTCATGATCCGCCCGCTGTAATAAGGTTCATTGGCGTGACTACGCGGGTGGTCCACATACAGATTGTGGATTTGTGGTGTCCTGTGCCTGTCAAGGCTGTTAAAAGTGCTGGTGTTGTTTTTGTATTTGTTGATGCGGGCGGGGCTGGGCAGGGAGCCTACCGTCTGAGCGAAGGAGACGGGGGAGCGGTAGGCCGGTGGAACCATGGGTGTAGGGACTGGCACGGGTCGTCTAGGTAAGCTGTGGCCGTTGACTGGTCCAAGAGAGTCTCTCTCCCGGCCTGCAGGGGTGTGGGTGGCACGGGAGGGGGGCGACCACGGGACCTCCATTGGGATGCCATTGCCCACCTTTCCATTCTGGTTTTGGGTAGAGAGGAGGTCTTTCTGCTCCTTGGTCTTCATTCCTTTAAAAAAGATCAAATAAAACAAACATTAGTTTCAATAATTCACTACAAGTGTATGTTTATTTTATATAATGAATAGCACTTCACTGCACTGAACAAAACTCCACATCAACTGCAATTATATATAATGACAATTCCACTTAAATATAATGACAACTCCACATATCTCTGTTTTCAGAGAGCAAACTAATCATGACATCTATTTAATTTACTCCTTTTGTGAAACTAATAAGTAACTGGTAAGTTTGTCAAATATAAAAACAAACACTGCTTTCACAATGAAACAAACACAAACAAACCATATTCTTTTCAAGAATCTATTCAAAAGTCCACATGTCATGCAATACATAAACACAGCAATATTTGTAATTATCTTTAAAATCTTTGAAATATTACTGAATCTACAAAAGCATCAACTACCCACAAACATGAACTTCAAGGGGAATAATTTTATCTTAATACAGTGCACACCTGTGTGATCAAAATGTTGTTATGTAAAAAGAATGAATTTGATTCAATTTCTGGTTACCAAGGACAGACTTTGTCTAAATTTTCAAACATGAATTGAAATTGTGAAAAAAAATCACTGGTATTCAGTGCTAGAGTATTTTGTTTGCAAAATAGTCAATGGCTTCTATTGGTAAATCAATAATGATAAATCAAAATCGATTTTAACAACTGTCCACCAAAAAAGTATATTCTAATCTCAATTACAAGACCATTTCTTTTGTATGTATTCTTTTATGTGTGGTAACAAAAAATCTTGATAGTTTTCACCTATCACTATCATTAAGAAATCATATTTCGAATGAAAAATCTTCATTAAAATGTTTGGTTTCTAGTGTCAGCAGCCAGATTCATGCTTATTCATGTGAAATATTTCAAATCATCACAAAAACAATTTTAAGAAACACAAATAAAAACAAACATCGAAAACAAAATACCAAAATAATGATTTACGAGTAAAAAAAAAAAAATAAACAAAATTATAAGGTTTCTCTGATCCCTAGTTTATACTTGCTTCAAATGGCTCAAAATTGGTTGGGAAAGATCAATTTGATTTGAATGGCTGTAGATAAATATGCTTCATCAACATTTGTTGAGGGATGAACAAATTAATGAGGATGAGAATAGTGACTATACCCAGAACTCCATGTTAACAATATCATTAGTGGAATGGTATAAAAATGTAGAGTATAATATATATATGTATCACTATGTAACAAAAAACAAGATGACCAAATGTGAATATATATATTGCTGAAGAAGAGATGGCAAAATGATATGAAAGAATCATTAATAACATGTAATTAGAGTTACATCACTGTCATGCACACCGATTAAGAACTGACATTTTTATAGTCAAGTTACATGTCACAAAAATGACAAAAATCAATCATTGTACAGTTTTGTCTTGCCACGCAGCCTCCCTTCCCAAAGCTAAAAGCTAAATATATCTGATAAATCATTAGCCGGGTGAGGAGTAGTCCTTCACTATGTTTTAAACAATGCCTTCACCCCCACTCTTTGAAGTTCATGTTTGTGTAATTAAAGAATAGAACATCTTGACTATAGTAAGAACAAAATTTGTAATCAAACTTATAGGAGATACTCGATTGATATAAATTAATTTTAAAGCATCTTTAAAAATAACTCTTTGCTAAGCAAGACTGCAACACATCAGACACGAAACGACAAATAACATGTTAGTTACCACATACCAGTCAAGATTTATGCACACATCGAAATGCATGAGTGGAGATTGGTTAGCGAAGAAGATTGGTTACATCATGGAAAAAAGGAGAAGACAAAAGATGTGAAAACATCACAAATCATCTTTACAAAATGACGGATAGATTAATGTTTTTACTTGTCAGGCATTCAATAGACAGTTTGGTTTGTCAGACAATGCTGTATGTAACGAAAAGACAGCAAAGACTGCAATACAAGATATTAGATGGTAATCACATGATTATTTACCAATGACATGACATGATTAGATGACTTATAGAACAATGTCAGGTATACAATGGGCTTCTGATAAAACAAGCATGTACATGAAAGTGATGGAAGCAAAATGGAAGAAAATATGACAGACAATGCGTTAATGTGACTATAAAAGAGCTACTTTCTCAGTGCAAAACAAGCATATTTTAAACAAATTTGATATCTGATCTGACCTACATAGAGACAGATAAAGAAAACAAATTGTTTAATTTCAGCTAAGTTTTTACCCCCCAAAATCACAAATTTTCTTCAATCATCTTGTTTCTAGAAATACAAAGTGCTTCAAATCACTCTAGTTTGCAGTATATTTATAGGGTTAAACTTTTTTTTTAAAATTCTTCGAGTGTGGAAACTCGCTCAAAAATACAAATCAATTCTGAATTCAACTATTAATCTAAAATGAAATGAACACAGGCACTATCGTCCATTTGATGATGCACATTGAGCAAAGAAAAGTGATAAGATATGATTGTACAGTATTCAATGAAAGACAATAACATACATACAGACAGACAGACAGACAGACATTAGCATTACAGATGAATGAGTGCAGGTAAAGCAAGGATGGCAAGATCATGTGATAGTTTGGCAGAATTTATGAAAGGAAAGTCAAAGCTATTTTATTCCCTCTATTAAATTCTTGACGGGAGGTTTATGCTCAATAATGAATTTGGCTTATGCCAACAACACCACCATTAAACAATGCATCCCAATTTTTTTTTAATTATCAAATTATCAAAAATATAAATAACGTAAAATAAATTGAAGCACCAGAGCAGAAAAAGAAAAGCCATTTAACTTCACACTATAGCCTTGGATTTGAAACCCTGCAACATTTATCGCTCTTAATTGGGATACCCAATAATAATGTAGTTTTGATTATCTAATGCAAAATCTTGAAAACATTCCAAATGATACCTTGTACCCAAGGAATGATATCTATGTAGCTATGTAACTACGAGTTAGCAGAGAAAGAGAAAGTTAAAAGCTCACAGAAAGCAGAGAACAAGAGTGCAATGCAATGAAGGAATTAGATGAGGTAAATGAAGTGTGATTATCCGGCTCCAAAACAGGAGGTCGGTGAAGCACTAATTTTGGTGAGTGTTTACAGCCGAGGATGAAGCGTTAACATTTTCAGCCGGGAGAATTACGGGGAGCCAGCAAGCTTGACACGACATGCCAAGAGGATGTTTTTTGTTCCGGGGGGGATCAGAGAAACCTTACTTGCACTCAAGATGCTATCATCACTGGTGGGAGGTTGATAGATACCCTTATGATGCTGGTTGTAGCACTGGTACAGGACCACCATCCCGCAGAACGTGAAGAGGATCCAGCCCAGGATGAGGAAGACCAGGACCAGCACGTTGCTCTCGTCCAGCAGGCTTTGGTTCCGTTGTGGATCTGGTTGGTGAAGAAATGAGAGTGAGAATCCATGATTAAAATCTGAATATCTAGTGACATATCAACAAATGATATTAGGTAAGAACAAAAAAACAACACACACTTGTTGTTCTATGCATTAGCTTCCGCACTAGACTAACTTTACCTGATAATTTTGTGAAGATCGAGAGAAATGCATGCAGTTTCATGTTGCAGCTACTGTATCAGAGTCTGTTTTGTGCATCAGCTCTACTTATACAGCCCATATGAATGGACGAAATGAAACTCCACATGCCACGTATCCAAAATGATCCTAGCCTTCTATAATCATCCTCCCATTAAACTGGATTACTCCATCTTCTACACAATGTTCAAAAGATTGCCATCTATTCACCTCCTTTTAAGTGAAATTACTCCTACTTCTATCAAATTACAGAATTGAATGGAGCTGCACAAACTGCTCCTCCAAAAAAAGAAATTGTCCTTCGGCCCCAAGTCACAGACATACATAAATCAATAAAACACCAGCTCGGTACACTACAAAAGTATGGCAAGGTCTTGAGTGCTTTGATTCCCAGAAAGTCCCTTTCAATTCAGGATTAGCATTGTGACGGCATTGTCACTAAAATGAGATGTTACACAAACTGTATCTTAGCCTGTAATTGCTGCCATTTCTTTGCTTACAAAAATCAATCAACCAATAGCGCTTCTTTGTATCCCTATTTTACATCCATTGTAAATCAATATTTTGTATCATTATCAACGACAAGCTAATTAGATGCAATCCAATCTAAACATATCTGGGATTCATTGCACTCGTAAGTCCTTGCAGTATTAAACATGGATACAACAACAAATACATGTATATTTAACGTCACAATGCTCACATGCATGTAAACATGTTTGTATATTTCTTTTTTAAATGGATATATAACAATATATAGCAAGCATAAGGCGAGGCTAAGTTAGCAAAATAGGACAAGATCAGGAGCATTGTTAACTTTTAAGTCTGATATGACGATTCAGCTAACCACCTCATGAACAATTTAACAATATTGAAACATGTTAGAATGAATTGAAAATGAAAATTATTATAAAAGTATTACAAGGAAGAATGGGTTAGTATTTAGTCAATAAGTAATTATATTACAACATCATGAACAATTTCACAATATTGAAAATTTGTTAGGATAAATTGAAAAGGTTTATATAAGTACTACATGGAAAAATGAGTTAGTATTTAGTCAATAAGTAATTATATTTCACCCTCATCACAACCTATGAGCAGCGAGAAATAGGAGTAAAAAAAATAAAAGCAATACAGAAAATCATTAGAAAAATAAAAAATGAATGAAAAGTAAAATGATCCATGTGTAAACGTATTCTTTTCAGAAAAAATAAGGTAAAAAGCAAAGATAATGAAATTAAATTATTCAACGATAGCCAAAAAAGCACAGCACAACTGACTTGAAAACTAAGTGCTTAACGTGTACAAGTGCATAACTGCATATCGCCATTGCATGTTTCAATAATTTGGACAAACTGGGTGTTGCACAAACAATCAAAATGAAAAAAAATGACTTCCTTTAAATAACAGGGGTTTTGAAGTTGTTGAACACGACATGATACAAGTTTAATGGAATGGCTCTTTAGATCCATAGGCAACCATTTAAAGGCAAATTTAAATTTCACTGTCAGCGACCTTTCTAGACCTACCTAAGTCTGTCCACAAAGAACAACCAAATGATTCATTTGTTGTGTTGTGTCTGAAATGTGGCAGTCTTGCTTGGGATAAAAAGTTTCTTTAAGAAATGCTTAACAGTGATAAAGTGATGTACACATGAACAAAAAGCACAGCAAGCAAATGGTGCCATTGCTTGGCAATGTAGTATGACCTCAAAGTTTGTTTCCCCTCATCACAAGGTGGCTATTTCTCATCTTTTTCATCATAACGCATCATCTTTTTGTCTTCAAAAGTTGGCAATTTCATCAGTTTTCTACTCAAACAGGATATGGGGAGGGGGGGGGGGGGGCACTTTTCAAAAACTTCCATCATGCAACCCTAAATAGGGTACAAAACAGGTGCATATTGTGCCAGGGAAATAGCCTATGGATGGACATTCAACATGTGTAGAACATACTACAAAACATGCATATTTAAGAGAAACATGTGCAAACAACTATCCAGAGAAAGTATCACAGGCATGCATTAAACAAGAAGACAACAGCTTATACTGGACAAATCTTTCTATTCAAGAAGTTCAATTTTTTACACCTATTAAAATACCAGATAAATTTCTATACACCCCGGTATTGTATTTCATATTCCTTTTGTTCTACGGTAGTCACGATGGTCAATGTCAGAGTCAAATCATTATGATTATTGGTACCCCCTAACTATTTTTTAATTTTATTCAAAATCTTCAGGAATCAGACTTAGAATGCCATTCATAGGAAAGAAGTATTTTACATTTCTTAAGATTTTCATTTCAAATCAAGTTACAGTCCTCCTCATTTTTTGAAAATTTGATCTACCAGTACTACTTTTTAAGAAATATATGCTTTGCTCAGACATCACCCAAGCTATGATCAACTTATTTCATCAGGCCAGCTGTATTATTCATTCACAGAAGTTTGTTGACTCCACTCCTGCTATTTCAATATAAGAGAATTGCATCTCGATGGGTAATCGGAACAATGGCCATTAAAACCAATTCTTATTCTTATTTTTACGTTTAATATTTATTCTAAATTTCTGAACAGCCCTCCTTATCAAATCAAGTGCATGCCACTGACCAACAGGTATTTCACATGCTTTCTACCACATATCCAAACACGAACCAGGGGCCCCGTTTCATAAAACTTGTTATCTATAACAACTGCTCAATTTATATGACAAATTTGCTATCAGCCAATCAGATGCCATGATTTCAGTAGCTTATAACAGTAGCTTGTAACTTGTTATTGATATCAAGTTTGCTCTCAGCCAATCAGATACCATGATTTCAGTAGCTTATAACAGTAGCTTGTAACATGTTATTGATATTAAGTTTTGTGAAACAGGGCCCAGATATAACAACAATACAAGCGGGTATGCATGCATGCAGCTAGTTCCATTCATCCAGCTACTCACACTCATACACATCCGGTCTTAGTATATGTTTATCATCGCCCTGCACACCCTCTACTTCATTTGCAATGGTTGGGGCAACTTGGAAAATGTCCACATCCGAGATGACTGAGTTTAATACAAACGAGATTCCAAGAGAATGATTGAGTTATAGAATAGAAATGCATGTACATGTACCTAAAAACAGTTTTCATTCTTCTTTCATCCTACTTTACAATCTACTCGGACATTATTTGTCTCGTACCTCAAGTATGTTTTATAGCCTAAGCATTCAATTCTCAATATTGGGACAGAATTTCCCTATTCAAAGCTGATGACCATTAAAAGACAAAGATCAGACTACATGATAAATTTATTTTGCCAAGTTCATGATAAATTAATTTCAGCTTTGCAAGGTAAGTGAAATATCAAGCTTATGAAATTATTTTGAAGGAAACTCGTTGAATAAAACTGAATGTAGGTTAATGATAGCTGAAATATATATTTGGAATACATGATTGGATTATAATTGAAATAATTATTGATATATATAATTAGTTTCATACGAATGATATCTGTATACTTGCAAGCATGAATGATTGATGTACTGTAGTGAGAGTAGATGTATGAAAAATAGCATTTTTTATTGACAGGCAAGCAGGAGGTATTCATGAGATATACAGGCAGAGAGCATGCTAGAAAGCTAACTTTTCAATTGAATTTGATTTGATTTTTTTTTAAATTTTAGCATAAAAGACAGGTAGATATACAGCAATTTCATTTTTAGTTACTTGCTAAACGAATTTGGTCAAGCATACAAAACTTGCAATGGCCTTTTCTTTCCTTTGTCCATCTTTGTCAATACAAAATCAATTATAAAGCAGGGTTTCAGAGATGAATTCAATGCAATCTAAAATGCATTCATTGATTTTTTTTTTGTCTTCAAACATGCGATTGCAAAATAAATTTCATCCACAGAAAATAATAATTTTCATGTCTATCAATTAACCCTATCAATTAGAGAGTCTGGCAAATATTTATAATGGAAGCTGTGGCCTTAAACCATGCCATGACCCCTGATGTACCTTTTGTCACTCTCACAATGTGGGATTCTAGTGGCTAATCGTACCAATGGAAGAAAGAATGTGTTTGTTAAGATGGATAAAATGGGCTTAAGTCCTGTAAGATGGTTTAACCTGTGTCATGTAAGTAAATAACTGACACCATAAATGTAATCTTATGCAATCTAGCGAGGACTGATTCTCGCGATCGCACTCAAAGATGATGAAATGCGTTTGTTAAGATGATGATGGTTAATACATGAGCCAGCCAGCCACCTGTGAGCGAGCGATGAACAAACCAAGAGGTCTTACCAACAGGACCAATCACGTTGCTAATGGTGGTGGACGGGGACAAGGAAGGGATAGGCTTGCCTTCGGAAATGTTGTTGTCGATGTCGCCGTCTGTAATTTCGTCACCCGGGTTTGATTTTTCTGACGTATGATGGCTCCCTGCTGGAGGATTATAAAAAGTCAGGTAAACGTTGGATACACAAATATATATATATATATATACATATATATATATATATATATATATATATATATGAAAATATAGATTTTCATCATCTCTTACATATACACTTGTAATTCTATAGACTATGCCTCATCCCTTTCATGCTCACGCTATCAGCTCTCTAGGATGACACGGTGTCATCTTTTTTTATTTTCACCTAATCTCTTGTATCTACTCAAGATTGTAAGTGTTTTATGTGATGTGTTTTTCAAATCTATATGATGATTGTTGTTTTATGTGTAGGAATTGAGATAAGAATTAGAGGGTCAATCTTTGGACTCACATACGTTGTACATTTACACTTTATGATTTGATCCTTGGATGCATGTAAAAGAAACAATTAGGGTGAAAATGATCAGTGAATTAAAACAAATTTAAAATGCAATTTCATTGAGTGGTCAAAAAATATTGGAAAGAAAATCAAGGGAATTCCATGGAATGCAGGGAGGATAAAAGAGAAAAATGTTCAATCAATATTATTGTCGGATTGTGCATGAATATCACAAATAACCATTTTCTAGAAAACATCACCGCAACATACACTGCATAGAATTCTCAGTATTGCATAAAATTGCAGTCAAGCAAACAAAGAACTAAAAGGTGCATTGATAGGCAAACAAAAAAACAAAATCATAATCATAATTGACAAATATTTCATTTTGCAAAATCAAGGAAGAGGAAGCACAGAAAAGTTTGCTGTTTCATAAAATTTAATGGGAAAAGAGGATATGGTTAACACAAACAAACACATACGTGTATCAGTAGACATGTAAGTCAGGAGTGCAAAGAGGATTTAGAAATAGTAGCAATAAAAGAAAAATGTAAATGCTCTGATCTCATGCCAGGTGTCAATTTAAAGAAGAATCAGAAATCAGTGGAAGGGAGAAAAAGATTGGAAACCATTTTTTTGAAATACCAAGTAGGAATATATAAGTCTAAATTTGTGCCAAAAAGACTAAGGAAAGAGGAGAAAGATCATGTACAGATGTCTGAATCAGACGGTGGAACCACATTATTCCCTGAAAGAAGTATAGGATTGTTTTCAGAGAGAGTTTGTTTCAAGCGAGAAGAGAACCAAGGGAATTTCATTGTACATAGAGAAGTTTAACAACTAAATTATTCATACCCCTTTTTTTTTTTTATTATAACTCAAGAATAAAAGGTGGACTAGTTGAATTAGAGCCTTTGTTGAATACCTTTATATGTGACTTTCAATATGTCACATTCTGAAGAAACATGAATAGGGACATATCAATTATTCACATACCGGAACTTGAAAATTACAAAACTAGGTGAGGGTATGAATAACTTGCTAACAGAATATATAGGACATAATGACAGTGCAATACCACAGTATAGATGGGATCTTGTTTACATGCTGGATGGGGATGAAGAGATAAAAGAAAAGAAAAGAAATAATAACTTGAGGGAAAGGTAACAAATTGGGAGGAAGAAGATGTAGGACATGACTGTCATACACAGGAGGAAGAGGGAAGAGATACAAGGGGTTTGTAACAATAATTGGAAATTCAGACAGGAGAGGGGGAAAAGTATCACATCGTGGGTATTGCAATAATATAGGAGTAGGTAAGGGGGAAGAAAAGCAAGGGAGGACTATACTTATAAATGTGAGGAAGGTTTCACAAGAGAGAATGCATAAACTCCCAAAGGATTCTATAACTATATACAAAGAAAAAGTTTACATAAGGGAAGGTGATGGCTGAAACACATTCCAACAAAAGGGAGAGCAAAGAGCAAAAAAAAAAATTGTTTCACTAAGCAAAAGCGTCAACTTGAAGGAGGTGGAACAAAGGTTTTAGAAGGAAATTTTAGGCAGGAAGACAAAACAATACAAAATAGGACGATAGATGCTTTACGGTTGAGTGCCAGATAGGTTAGAGTGTACCAATAACAAGGAGAGGGGTAAGGAGCAGGGTTGACATAAAGAGGGATGTTGGTCTATACCTGGTAAGGTAGAACTATTAACAGTTGATGTCCATTCAAGATTTGTTGTGGACACTGTGCTGAGTGTGGTGGGAACGGCTGTTGAACACAACGTAATAGCAACAAAAGAAACAAAAAATAACAAACGGAAACTCTAACGAGGAACTCATATTAAAAGGCATAACCAAACGAATCAAACAAAACAAAAATATAAAATATATATGATAAATTAAATCAATAAAAATGCAAGCAATGTTCCAATTTTCTATTACAAACGCTCCTGAAAATTGTTTGGGATATTCCTTATTAATTAAATTGGAGAAATTCTTTAACAAATTGATGCCGACAATGAATTGTTTATAGGAACCTTGCTTAATACTGTACAATGCACTTTGCAGGCACCATGCACACATACCATGCAACAATTGCACAAATTCCAAACACGTTCAAAAGATCCTTGGTGGTTGTTTTTTTCTTCATTTTTGTCACTTGGAATTGTTGGGAAAATCTTCTCTTTTTCTCTATTTCTTGGTTGAATAACTGTGAAGTCAACTCGGGTTTACAACACCACAACTAAATCAAGACATTATTATCATACAGCATGGGAATAAAATTAAACTAAACAAAAAAGCAACAGAATACTAATCTAGCATTGATATTAAAATGCTAATGTTAAAATACTCTCTACACTATGGAACAAGTGTATTATGATCAGCACAATAAGGAAATATGCCACAAAGCTAAGTTAGCTGCTGATTAAATCGTATTATTCATTGGATATTCCACCTTCTTTGCATATTCCATCAACAATATATTCTTTTCTATTTCAAGGTATAAAACATTTTATCAATCTAAATCTAATCCAGAAACTAAACTATTCTAGTAAAACACCAGACATCTTGTTAATTAAAACCGATGATCATCATCATGCTAAATAATCACTTCAAAGAAATCCATCCCAATTTGTTGAGTCGTAACTCACGCATATGATGCTCTCTGGAGTTTTCAACTCCCACATATGGTATCCCACAAATTCCTCCTGTTACATAATTTACAAGGTGAAGGGGTACACAGGGTCAAAAGATAAGAGAGAGAAAATTTCATCTTTATAATCTATTCTGGAATTATCTTAAGTTTCATTTACCTCCATGTCTCTGTAGTTTGTACTTAAGTCCTATCAGAACATCATCCTCTTTTTCATGTTCGGTAAAAACTCTGGGTCAATACAGTGTACTGCAATAAGCAAAGGCCATGAAAAACGTCTCTTTCCTAATACCAAAAGGCACTGTTTGCTTGTATCAGAAACTTCTTCTGCATATCTTGTACATTCATGATGCCGACTACAAAATGATTACCGGTATAAACTTGATTTTGGATTTCAAACTTTCTGCATTAGCAGCGAGTATATATTTAATTTTGTTTCTAAAATTTTGATCACATTTTCACTGTATTGAATCCGTTGGTTAATTCATGGTCTATGCTTATTGCACTTTCAATATACAAACCTGTGTCTTTCACCTTCCAGCGGAGCATTTAAAGAATACAATGACATAAAAACAAAAAATGGAACCTTAAGAAGAGAACTAGTGAGTGAGACTGACCGGTGGTTGTCTGGGGCAACGTTGTAGACGCCGTGGTGATAACGGTCGTGTATTTGGTGGTAGCGGCGGCGGGAGGTGCATCGGTCTCACATATACACTCAGGTTGAGGGGTAGTGGGTGGTGGTGGTTCTGTACCATGCACAAGGAAGGGGGTAGGAGTTAACGGGCGTGGTCAGTTAAAAACACAGCAAATCATAAAGATGAACTCAATATTAAAGATCACAAAATGTGACTGGTGCAAAATCAAATATGGCTCTAATGAAAATCATAATATCTACTGAACAACGTGAACTCACTGCAAATTACTTATCTAAAAATATAACTTACACAAAATAAAACTGGACCTGAACAGAGTAACCAGAATGCAGGATTGTTAGAAAATATAAATGAGTATAAATATATATATATATATATATAATAGAAATAATATCTTTAAGAAGCGATAGGTGAAAGCATGTTAGATATCTTTGGAACAGGTTGAGGGGAGGGGGTTAGAGGTTAAGCAAGGAGACTTAAGATTACCGTTCATGCAAAACCCTTAAAACATGTAAGTATAACGCTAAAAATAGAAGTGCTGCTGATAGCAGCTTTCTTGACTTTCTTAACTTTCTTTTTTAATGTCAAACAATCTTTCCTTTATTTCATGTTCTTCATACAGGGTCAAAATTTCAATAGTGAGTATTGCTCTTCAAAGACATGGGCAGCTCAGAAAATAAAGATTGAAATTTACATATTTCACATTTGTATGCAGTATACCGGTAATTAAGTTATTTCTAATAATATTGATGAAGTCCCAATTGTCTTTTTATTTTAAAGAGGAAAGGGAATATTTTGTAACCTTACAATGTACATGTAAGCCTACCAAAACGGTTATGCTATCTTTCTGTGATAAATCCAATCAGTGCTCAAAGTGAAACTGCAATTCGTGCTAAATACCATAACATTATATCGAATATCCTTCAAGCTTTGCACTAAGTATATAATATATAGGATATAAACATTCATTCGGGTAAAGTGTGTGAGTGTTTAGGTTATGATGGTAAGTGTCTAATCACTACACCACAAGGTGACATTGAGATGACACCACAAGGTGACATTGACATGAAATCGATACCTTCACATCCCAACTCTATTTGACTCTTAAAAGAAGAGGGCACCCCCTCAGAAGAAGCCACTTCTGTGGTTTGAGGAGCGGAGGTTGATGGAATTTGAAGAGGAAGAACTAAGGAGTGATGACAATGGTTGAAAGGAAAGAAGATGGAGAGAGAGAGAAAGAGAGTAGCTGATATCTGCAGCATGTTGATATACATCATATTATATTCATAGTGTAATAAGAAGATAGAGAGAGAGAGAGAGAAAGAGAGTAGCTGATATCTAAAGCATGTTGATATACATCATTATGATAATCATAGTGTAATAAGAAGATAGAGAGAGAGAGAGAGAGAGAGAAAGAGTAGCTGATATCTACAGCATGTTGATATACATCATATTATATTCATAGTGTAATAAGAAGATAGAGAGAGAGAGAGAGAAAGAGTAGCTGATATCTACAGCATGTTGATATACATCATATTATATTCATAGTGTAATAAGAAGATAGAGAGAGAGAGAGAGAAAGAGTAGCTGATATCTACAGCATGTTGATATACATCATATTATATTCATAGTGTAATAAGAAGATAGAGAGAGAGAGAGAGAAAGAGTAGCTGATATCTACAGCATGTTGATATACATCATATGAAAAATCAGAGAGTAATAAGAAGAGAAGACTATAGCTGATAAGAAGTTAACCAGTTGACTACTGGATCTTCTCTTTCCCATAGACTTAACACAGGCGCCACCCGGTTCCAGTAGTCAATCGGTTAAGAAGAAGAATAAGCAGAAGAGTAACAGGTAAGAAAAGAAGATGCCAGAATCAATATTTTGATGAGTAAGCATAGAGCGGCATTAGTTTAATAACTTGAATAACAGTATTTCTCTTGAATACATCCTGAAAGGCACAATTTCTTTTATTAGGCAAGAATTACAAATGTAAGAAGAAACCAATTAGGAGGAGTAAATTTGATGTCTGGCTGGAATGCTCCCCAGGGAGTGGAGATTGTGCACACAGTGTGTGCAGGCAAGCACTGAATCCAATTGACCGGGGTAATAGTATATTTGTAAAGCGCTTAGAGACATTGTATAAAGCGCTATATAAAAGCTAAACATTATTATTATTTCAACAGAAAATATAATTGTTGAATATATCAAACTTTCAATATTGTTGTATTTAAAATTGCCAACTGTTTCCATAGTTTCTTCTTCCACGTTTAATTCTTGCCTAATTCTCAACCTGAATATAAGATTCAATAGAAGAATATATTACCAAGTAAGTATATGATCCTGTGTATCAGTATGTGAGGCTTGCAATAAAAGGAACGTGTTTCATAGGCAGAAATACATCACAATAAAGAGTTAAATGGTTAGTTACTGCACTGCAAAGATAGTGATAAAAACATTAGTAAATGGTGAGTAATTAGTCATGAAAACAATGGATAGAAATGAGAGATTATTACTTGTCTTACTTCAATAAAAGAAAGATATATCAAACAATTTATTACAAAATTGTGACGATGAAATATTGCTGCTAACTGATTCCTATTCTTTCTGATGCAAAATAAAAAGTTTAGAAAACAAATTCAAGATATATTATCTGGATGAAACATGGAGAACAAAATGAAAATGAAACCCCTTCTTGGGGGGAAAAAGTTTTAAAATGTGTAACAAAAAGAATATGTCAACTGATTTAGAAAAATAGAATAAAAACTTTTGAAAAAAATTTCATTTAAAGGTTTACAAAATGCAACAAAAGAGACCATGCAGAGTACATGCATTGAAATTTTGAACCATATTCATACCACAAAATAAAAACAGGCAGTATTCTGCAATTGCTTTTAGGCAATCTACTGTCTAAAAAGACTGGTATCAATTTTCAAAGATGCAAATCCCATCCTCCCATGCATAAAATACATTATGAAGAACCAGAGAGATGATAATTAAAGACATGTTATTAGTACCATTCATTCCCTGGAGTGACAAAATGTAAGAATTCATTCAACAAGTTCATATGCAATTTGAAGAAATAGAAAATGGTTAATAATCAATTAAATAAAAGCATGCTTGATGAAATAAGAGATATATAATGAAAAAAATGTCGGATTTGAGAAGTTCCAAAGAAACTGACACATTGTCAATTCCTTCAAAGAGATTTTGTAAACTTAACGTTTTTTTTATATGAAATGTGTGATCATGCACGATATGTAAGTGTATTATAATGCTTTTTTTTCCTTTTGTGTGTGATTAAATATATATTTTTTATTTTATGATAGATAGCGGTTGAGCTGATAGCATAAGCATGTTACAATGTTAACAGAGAGAGCTTTGTCTTACAGTACCTTATTAATTAAGAGAGCATGAAGAATATACATCATTAAATACTTTTTTTTTGTATGGCATGAGGCATGAAGTTATAGAATATTATAGATACAAGAGCCAGGATTAGTTTTCTATAACAACCCATCCTGCATACGATAACTCTCTACGTCATGATTCAATGTCTAAATGCAACTCATTCTTCAAGACATAATGCATAGACCGTACCGTTCAACTCGTTGACAAGTTTATCAGACTATGTACAAACATATCAAGACTATGAATTCCAATAACTACATGTACTTCATTTACATATCACCTGACATTTGCATATCACCTGACATGAATATTGAAATGCAAAATAAATACTGTACTTGTGAATATGGAAATTGGATTGAAATGTTTGTTTGAATGATATACAGATACTTACCATCTGTTGAGGGTTATAGGAAGTCCAGGGCAAACATCACAAATGGAGAGTACAGGCCAAGTGAGAGATTGCAAGGGAAATGTCATAAAAAGAGATATGTTAATGAAGAAAAAGGGACAGATATTAAAAATAAGTCTCTCGTGACCAATTATATGTAGAAAATCAACTTGGAAGATCAGATGGTTGGCTCTTGAATAATCATGAATGTTTATTTGCAGTCATATAGAATTTTCTTTAAACGTGTTCATTGGATTAATAAAGTTATGGTTTTTCTTTTAATCCCTATTGTAATTAATTTTATCATTTTCTATAATACTTTGTAACATACACTGTTCGCTCACTTTCCACACGTACATTTGGGTGATACTCTTTTGAAATTGGGACATCTAACAAAGTTGATCGTTTCTACTAACTAATTATTTTGTTTCACAAATTCTCTTTACCTGGGCATTCTTGGATGTTACTGACATCTTGTGCGTCACTGTAAAACAAACAAAACAAATCATTCATTATGAAGAGAAACAGCAAGAGAGAGAGAGAGAGAGAGAGAGAGAGAAAGAAAGAGAGGGAGAGAGGAAATAACTATAATCTGTTTGCAAGATGATTTATGCTTCATCTTCAAACACCACCTGCAAAATAACCTTTCATACAGATGAATGGTTTTTAACAAAGCAGAATGCAATAATGTGACAAGCTTCTCCAGATAAAAAATGATTTTTTTATATTTTACAGAAATGAAAAAATGTATCAATATACTCACAATGCATTATCTCCAGTATACTCGTAGCACTGATCCGTTAAGCTATTCCAAACGCAGTAGGGATCTTGTGTACAGGTACTGCAAAAGAAGAAAAACAAGTTTATAATGTTCAATACATAACATTCAAATAAGTATGTAAGCTTATAAACATTTTAATAAACAGATAGTAAGTAACTAAAATTACAGCTGTATATGCATCTACATAGACATGCAACAGTTTTCTTTGTTAAATCATGCCCTCCAATGTCATGCTGGGCCACATTTTTTTCCTCAATGTCATTTGGTTTATTTCATTTCCAAATTCTAAATAAAATAACATCAAGGGAAACAGAACAAAACATATCAAAATGGGGGAAAAGAACATCAGCTATGATGAGGGTTTTAAAATGAAGCTTGCAGAAGAAAAAGGAATAATTACCAATACAGGATTTTTTGTTAATGATTGTATAAAAAGAACTAATTCTCCACTGAAGAAATAGAACAAGCTAAAAACAACTCAAACTGGGCCCAAATGGGCTATCCACTGTATATTTCATTAATGTATGTATTTGTGTGTTGTGATGATTTTATAGAAAAATAAAAACAAACAAACAAACTCACCAGTCACTTGTGTAGTTTATACATCTCTGCAGAGGGACTTCCAAGATGGAGCTGTTCGTATTGACGACAAGAACCTGCTTTCCTTCGTGGTTTGTCACCAGCTCCATGTTGACGACTCGTTCACAGCTGTCTGCTGGATGTAGACTGATCTCTTCCAGGAGATTGGCATGAACAGCGCCACCTTCACCCTCAACGATGACAACCTTCAAGAGCTTGCTGTCATCTGTGTGGAGGGGGGACAAAAAGATGATCGTGATTGGAGATTTAAGTGTGGTATAGTCATCTAAAATTTGTTATTTCTCTTCTAATTAATGCTCAATCTGACTAAAAGATAGTAGACATGTACATGTACAAAGCGATGGATACATACCTTACCATACATAAAATAATGAAAGATCGTTATTTATACACAAACTGAACATGCAGGACACCAGTGGAAAAGTTTATAGAACTTAAAACATAGTGTTCAGGCATGCTGGATAAAGTCTGTTGATCAGAACTGTTGGTTTTTCCTCAGAAATTGCTTTCAGACAGCGATTCTGAATGGGATCATCATGTCAACATAAATTGTCTTAAAGAATCAAAATGATCTTCATAGGTTAACGCACCCATGTTTTCTTATGATTCTCAAAACTTCTAGAAGATATGATAGAAGTATTCATATATGTATACATGTAGCCAATTCACATGTCTGGGCCCTGCAACACATAGCTTAGCAATTGATCGTATGATTGATTTTGCCATTGATTGCACACAGGTCCTGTACTGATTGTGAGGCTAAAAAGTGGACATGTTCCCACTCACCTGTTCCTAAAAATAAAACTTGGTAATCTTTATCCACGGCCTTGTGGCTGTGAACCATGATCTGCGTCAACCTGTAGTCTGCCCTCGTCAGGTCAAACACGGGCAGGGGGTTCCCATGATTGGGCACAGACTCGTGCATGAGGGGATGGGACGCTATCCACTGCAACGTACTCGGGGAACTCTGTGAACCTAGGTCGCACTGTAAGAGAAGCAGAAGAGAGATTTTTGTTACAGATACGAAGCATCGATCATGATACATATTCTCTTTGAATTAGAAATATAAGGTTTTTACCCATGTTCATTTGATGCTTTAAATGTTTGATTTTGTTTTATCATGATTAACCTTCTCAGTATCATGTCACGTGATTTTACGTGTGACGTAAATTTGTTATCCATAATAAATGTTGAATTGAAATTTCATTGAGTTGAATTGTTTTCCTAACTTTACTCCAGAGTAAATAAACAAATGTCCCATCAATAACAAATCAAATTAAAGATTTTTACCCTGTGACTGTTATAAGTGGTTCAGCTTTGTGAAAGTTTCATCCCCTGAAAATAGCTGTCATTAACAATTCCCATTTTAAAACATTTCCCATTTTCAAGAGGGGGAAAGAGCCAAAGCCGTTACAAATTGAAACACCTACAGAAAATAAAGCCACAACTACCAATGAAATTGATGGGGCGAATAATAAATAATCTGCAGTTACTCAATTTCAAGAGGAAAGAGACATGGCATAAAAACAGTCCTATTTGAACTATGACTCACCAATCCTGGTCTGGGTGATGTCGGCGGGGATGCGGGGTACCACGCCCCTCCCTGTTGCTCTTTGAACTCTCCCTCGTCCATTATGGTCCTTATTGTGTTCAGGCTGAAGACGCACACGGCTGATCCAGGAATCTCATGTCTACACGACGGGCAAGAAAGAAAACAAACAGATGTTTAAATGCCAACACATTGACTACTGTCTTGTGAAAGTCCCATATGCTTGATACAGGGACCACCAGGTTCCCGTTGGCAAAGGGTTTAAACTTCATGGGTGAGATTTTTTACCTCGTTAGAAACAACTTGATTTGAGCATTGAGATGCAAAACATATTTTCCTTGAACTCCAGCCCATGTTATCTAAGAGGCTGTTCACACCGGCAGAGATAGCGCGCGCTAGACCGCGCTATCTCTGCGGTGTGGGAGGTACAACGTCGTTTTGGTCCGCCCAACAGCGAGCCACGGCGAGCCAAAACGGCGTGCCACTGGAGCACCTCTTGGGGGTGGTCCACGAGAGATAGCGCGGTCTAGCGCGCGCTAGAAAAAAGGGGGTGCTACGATAGACCGCGCTATCTCATTGCGGTGTGAACAGCCTCTAAGGTTTAGTATTTGATAATTTAAGACAGACTTTTGCTCTAACTCTCAGTGTTTTAGATCGACTGAAAGTGAAACCCTTTGCACATCATCTGTTGAAAGCCACAACTCATATTCTTTTCCCAGAGTTCACGCCCTTCTGGCTCACAACAAAAGAAATGAATGAAAACTTTCTTTCTCAAAGTAAACAAGATCTTGAACTGGATATTGAAACAATGGAATTATTTTGGGAGAAGAATACTGAGTTTTCGAAAACAATGTTATCATTAGTACCAATTTAATTTTCGTCTGTCATTTTCTTTCCCACGCTATGGGTTAAATATTGATTTTTCTTCATGTCTCTATTGCAAGGGTTCTATGTATACCATCAACATCAACAAGAAATCAAACCAATACACTTACAGTGCATATGTTCCTGAACTACAAGAAAGGTAGTCTGTTGCTATTATATCAAAGCTTTCTAACCGAAACAACTTGTACCTTAAGTTCTAGCAAAATTGACCAAGATACAAGAACAAGTTAGCCCCCACTGTACTCATTATACTCAATTGTGACAAATGACTTGTATGAGAAACATGGTCATAATAGAATACATTATAAAATTGACACACAAAAGACTTACCTTCCAGTTGTAAATACTCCATAGAAGAGTGTATCATCCTCTGTTTCTACCATGTGAACATCCTCTGCAAACAAGAAAATATAAAACATGAAAATAACAGTCACTATACACCTACACACCAGGGTAGAGAGAGGCAGGGTAGAGAGAGGCAATGTACACAAAATGCCTTGCTTAAGGATATAAGAGCCGAGCTGGGGTCAACCTAACCTGTGACCTTTGCATTAGCAGTCATTTGACTACACCTCTACGTCAATTTTTTCTTCAGGGTCTGGGAAATATATTGCTCCTCAAGGTGGAGTTGATAACAGTAGTGCTCTGGGGGAAAAGTTTAACGCAAACTTTCTGGAAAATGGAAATGATTCAAATTATTTCAATTAGGTAGAAGTCATTAAGTCAAGAACCTGGATTAGAATGCTTTATGAGAAATTGAAGTAATAGGAAGAAATTAGTTTCTCTGATGAGCTGACAAATGTATAATGAACAAATAGTTATTAACTGCAGTAATCAATCAGTAGAGTATGAGCCCGACCACAGACTTCAATTAAGTATCATTTGTTGAAAATTGGACTTAAATTCAATTACTTGTTTTTTACGCCACATTTTCAATAATGCAGCACTCTTCATTACATTGCATGACAAATATGAGAGTGAGAGTGTCCTGAATTCAGAAGGGAATGAATGATGATTGCTTTTCCAAACTTTGATGAGTTTTCCAGCGAATTTCTTTGACAGGTTTTGGTTATGCTGACAGACATGTATAGCTATCAACAGTCTTTGAGTGCTGACAAATGGTTTTAATTCCTCACTTCTGTGAGGCATTAGAACAGGGAAGTCCTTTCAATGTCATTTTCTAATCCCCAATAAAATTATGATTGTTTCAGATGAATTTAGGGGGATTAAGAAGGAGTATTGAAGCTTTCCTGAGAGGAAATACAGCGAGGGATAGAACAATTCTATTTGTGCTTAATTCATATCTATTTGAGGAAACACTCAGATTATGATTTGAAGGGCAGAGTGATAGAGTGAGGGAAAGAGACAAAAGGATAATGAGAAGGGAGAGAGGTGGATAACAAAAACAGAAAAAGAAAGACAAAGACCAAAAAAAAAGAGTGAACAGAAAGATAGAGTAAGATTAAGGTAGAGATTGAGAGAGAGAGAGAGAGAGAGAGAGAGAAAAAGAGAGAGATAAAGAACAAGATGGAGAGATCAAAGAGACGGGGGAGAGGGAGAGAGGGAGAGAGAGAAAGAGAGAGAGAAAGCAAAAGCTAGAGAAACAGAGAGAGAGAGAAACAGAGAGGGAGGAAGAGAGAGATACTTACGGAGGAAGTTGAAGTAAAATGGGAATGCTCCAGGGAAGGAACAGTTGAGACGGATCTTTTGAAAGGTTGTCCACTGTCCAGCAGATATCCAATCACCACCTTCGTCACTCTTACAAACTTTCCCAACTCTGGAGTAGACCGCCTGCACAAATAAACAAACAAACAAATAATAAGTAAACAAGTAAACAGCCAAACATTATGGATACGTAGATAAAGTGTACCGTGGATACTTATATACATATGTAAGTCAATAAATAACTATATAAATAAACAAATAAATAATGCTGTATGTCATTGTAATAAGCCGTTACAAATGTCATTGGGGACCAGTATCCGACCCACTCAGAAACACGTTAACAAATGAACTTTCACTGCAACTATGTTTTGAAGTGAATGTGCGTGGTGGTATTCGAGTTGTAATATGATTTGGCATTTTCTTGGCTACGGCCAATCATTCCTACACCCCAAATGAAATCCCACTGTAATGACTGCTAAGTACACAGACATCCATCGCACGCAGAGAGAGAGAGGGAGGCAACACGGGGAGCGTGAGTAATCAGAATTCTTCACTAATATATTAGGTTACTCAGGCATGCGCTAAATGAGCGCAGCAGTATCGCTATGGATTACTGTATCATTGCATTTCTATGGGCACATTGGTGAACATTTTTATCCATTAAGCGAGGTGCATGGGGGAATGCTAGCTAACCCATGCCAGGTAATGAAATAAATATGAATTTCAGATGAATTATTAACGAATAGAAGAAAACAAATATATGGAAGCATACAGAAAGCACATGAAAGAGAGTCTTTGATCTAGCTGTAAACAACACCACACAATATTTGATAACATCATCTGTTTGGAGTCAAAAGGTCGTTAACTCATACACTTTGAAGAATTGTATATGTTTTTCAGACCTAGACTTTTCATGGCTCTAAACAAGATATCAATCAAAGACTTAAGTTGAGTAATAAAGTTTAAAGTACAACATACAGAACAGAAGAAATAAAATTGTCATGATTGTATGATCATCCATAAAATCAATTGATTGTTCAATAGATCGACATTGCCAAGAAATACAACCCTAGAAACTTGTAAGTTTGTTTGATCATCCATAAAAATCTTTTTACTGTTCAATAAATCAAAATGGAGAAAACAACTTGTAAGTTGTTTGTTTGCTTGTTTGAGCCTCTATTTAAATTAAAACTTAATAGTTTAAAACATCAACAATGTAAAGAAATACAACTTCAGAAACTTAAATCATAATTCTAGAAGTATATAATGGTTTACGTCACACCAATTGAATTTGATGCCTGTTCATTAAAATTATTCATTGGGATATAAAATACCTTGCTCTCTAAAGCCATCGATGTTCATATATCACTGGATTGTAAAATAATGCTTCCATTGTATGACAAAAACATCACAGTAATACTAGATCTACAGGTATGGCGTATCATATTAAAAGGCATATTGTATGACCTTTCATAATTTATGATGTCAACGTTTCAGGTAACTCATGACGTACTTGCACTTTTTGGTCTCTCTGGGCCACTAATGCTGGTTAATGAAATTGTATCTCATATCACGATAAACTGGAATGAAATATTGTATTGAATTGAAAACAACTATAAAATATTCAATGTTGTTCTGTGTACTGGGCATGAAAAAGAATGGGCTCGTTTCTTACATCTCCTGATGTGTACTCCACTGCCACTTCTCTGAAGAAGAACATGACCCAGTCTCCTACATCAAATGATTTCACAAATGCTGGAACTGTAAAAGAAACAGGTAATAAAGCAAATAAATCATCAGAAATGTTTTCAACAACTAAAGTAAAGTCTTCTAGATTTTCAGCAGATTCTAAGAAACACTGATTATTTTTCATTTTCAGACGATGCACTATGTTTAATGTTTGGTTCTTTATGAAATATAAGGTATGATTGAGTATTCCTTGGATGGTTTATTAGTCATTTTGGAAAATAACAAGGACTCACAAGATAAATCTTTATTTTTTAACCCAAACAACATTCAAATGGAGTTGAAATACAGAGAAAAGGCATGAACAAGTAATTTTTCTTCCTTGTGCAGGACTGTTTTTTTTGTCAGTCAATACCAGAAGACGATATTACATTCACGTCTCATTGAGTCAATAAACAGGATGTGTGCTAGCTTATGGTCCTCACTCTGTCATTCACATGCATTTATTCAGTACATGAAACATAAAAATCAACTCGCTCAACAATGTCGCAAAAAGCCTTCCACAACATTTTGATTCTATTCAATTGATTGTCGATGCTTTCAAGCACTGCACAGGCAGTAAACATGAACAAATAGCCACGCGATGTTTGCTCTTTAGAGATAAAAGGGTGATTTTGGGGAAAACATTGCAAAATGTCTGATTCATGGCTTTGTACATATATCTGATTGCATACCGTAACTCCTACACAATCATTTGCTTTTTCATTTGTTTCAGTAAAGAATGATCATACTAATTGACTTCTATGACACATGCTCACACAAATATTGCTCTGTGATCCATTTCCTATGCTATGTGAATTGTTAACTTCAACCCAGAACCAGACTCTACACCTCATATCAACCCAAACCCTAAAACTGACCTAAAATCCAATTACAACCCTTCCTAAATGGGCATCTTTGACAAGATAGCGATTGTCACTGGAGTAAATGTCTGATCCCCATGATATCATGATTCATATCATTGCTATACACATAGAAATATAAAACATTGAAATTCAAAAGACAAAGTAAACTTACTCTTGAGCCATTTGGAGTCCATAGCTTTCGTAAGGAGTACATTTTGTGGTCCCTGCGATCTAAAGATGACTGAATCTCGGGCCGTATAATCCCGGGCAACACCTGTGTATAGGTTACCATCTGAAATGGGGAGAGAAATGAAATGTCATTAATTAATTTATTTACTTATTCCGTTTTATTTAAACAGGGTAGCCTCGTCAGTAATCAAATTACTGTTTTCCATAATACTATTTTTAATAATAGCCTCTTGAAGCACAGATACAGGGCAACCATTATACAAAGACTGCTTAAACGATACAAGAAACATAGTTTTCATGGGAAGGTGGTCTTTATCAACAGGTTTCTGTTGATACGTATTTCAGTGATAAGCATCTTTCCAAGGGAAACAGACAATGTGGTATTTACAGTGGTCTTTCTATGCAGGGGTTGGCAAGGCTAAATTTCAATGTATACTAATGGTGTCTGCAAATGTGCGGCATCAAGTAATCCAACAGATTCACAGTTTATCTTCATAATAATAGTAGAAATCATGATTTTGGGGGAAGAAAATTATTTACCTGCAAAGAGAGCTGTACCCTCTTGCTTGGGGTTGAAAGGGCTGATGAAAGTTCCATCAGACTCTTGATATTCCTGAAGACTAGAATCCTGAGAGAGGGGAAAAAAGATGAAAAACATAGAAAACAGTATGTTATTAACATCCTTCATATTCTAATCTAATCTGTCTTTATTACTATGACAACCATGACACAGGATAATCTACTTTCACATAGATATTCTTGTAGCCTTAGGGTACGATACTGATAATTTTACTTCTAATGCATGTCAATTGTGCTTACTATGATGGATTCTAACTTCAAAATAATTTTGACACTTTGGCATCGATTGATTTCCTTTGCCTGTCAAAGCCAATCAGTCGGCAGGTCCTGATTTTGTTATCGAACCAGAAATCTTACTATCAGAACGCCATGGTAACTAGTTAGCATCAGTTGGTTTTCTTCCTCAATACGCAAGGACTCTAAAACTCTGAGAAGGGGGGAGACAAGGAAGGGGCTGGTTCAGCAAAGCACTCTCGTGGGATTTGATGCAGATGAGAGCTGCTCATTTATTGGAGTCAGAGGTTAGGCGATGACATACAGCCATCCATATTTCGGTGCCAAATAACACACTTTTTTTACACATGACTTGATGAGTTAAACAGGAGTTCAGTGGTTGGTTTTGTTGTGCGATGGAAGTTTCATTTAATTACAAACTCACACCCAGCGCTTTGTAATGGATGCTGACGGACGTAATATAATGTTCACTTTGTCCCTCATCCACCTGAAAGGTGTTCATCTCAAAACATTCCGCAAAGTCTGCAAGTCATTCCAACATATTAACTTCCCTCAACCAACATACTTTTATCTCTCTTCTGCTTTATAAGCTTTGAATTAAAGGTAAAGACCAGTTATGGTCATGCGATTGCATTGTGAAAGAAACATTGTGGAATCAATCAGAAAAGGTTGATCATCTAGCATCTAGCATCTGCAAGGTTCTGGAATCATCAAAATGATAAGAAATTTGGCCCATTCTTCGTAAAGTTACAAGCACTATACACAGAAAGATGTATATGGGACTACCCTATATCTCTCACAGACCATGAGAGAAACAAATTTACCAAATATATGAATTAGTAGGCGGTTTCCCGGCAAATTTTTTATCATCATGTATTAGTCAAAACATATTCTTTCACATGATTGGTAATGAGAGCTTCCATTTCATTTTTTGAAATTGGGGCATTTCCAATACTGGTCTTTACCTTTAAAGAGAAGTCAACTACGTACGACTACATAAAACCGTTTACTTTCAAAACAAGTTAATCATACCAAATTAATCTTTCATCCAATGCGCAATGCTGCATATCATAATTCATCATCGCATATATGTTTGGAGGAGGATGTTAAATATGTTCTCCTAGGATGATGAGTCTTGCAGGAAGCATGCAAGTTATAAAGTAAACCCAATGCTCCAACCGTGGTCCCGGCTTTAACCTTGACAGCAAAGCTGTGAACGCAAGGCAGAGCGTGAAAACATGACGGCGAGGTGGCTGTGCTGATTGCATTATCGGCTACAGCGTCCAACCAAATTGAAAGCTTCCGATCTCTTTCACCAAGACGAGAACCAAAAATCAAATGTGAATCACTAGATATAGCAAGCCATACTATGAATTGATTGTAGGCCACTGATAAGGTTATGTGTAATTACGAATGTAAGTGCTAAAAAAAAATTTCAATTGCTCAGCAATTTCTGGAAATTGAGCTTGGGTAAGGTTACATTTAAGGAAGAATATGACGTTGTACAGGAAATACAACTTCAGGAAAGAAAATACAGGGTGGAAAAACAGTGAAATAAATTAATAAAGACAAATTCAATGTAGATTATAGTGCACTATCAGTTGGTTTGGATGGAGAATAGTTTTTGATTCAATTTTAGTTTTAGAAGGGGGCCCCGAGTGTACCCCTTCAAGCGTCTGATGTCTCCCTCCTGAATGCTTATCTCTCTCAATGTATTCTCTTCATGTACGAGAAGTTAGGCGTGATGATATGGGCACCCACGCAGCAGGGATGCGTTTAGCATAAATTGCTCAAGCCCACTGATTACTATCTGTGACTGACATGATCCCAACCATGTTCACACGTAACAAAATTTGTGTATATTAAGTATTTTTTGGCAATAAAAGCATGATATATATGTGTAAGCACCAAACATTAAAGTTTGAAATAAGTTTTCCTACATGATCTAGTACCAGGTCTCATTCGGACAGTGGTAATGAAATATTTTCAAAAGCATCATGTATTGATTTATTGACTGCAAAATGATATGTATCTAGACCTCCTCTATACCCGTAGTTTAGAGGAGGCCTTTCATTTTTTTGGTTTCGTTTCCATTAAGTTAAAAAAAATGAAACTGTACTGGTTGTCAAAACAGAGAGCAGCATTTTATATAAAATCATATCCGAATTGAAATCAGAGTATTTTTTATGTAAAATCCATTTTTATTGATAGAACTGGGGTACAGTAAAGGTTAGAATCCAGATAGCATGTATCACATGATCTATGAACGCATGATCGTCATCGGGGCGGCTTGAAAGAGACAGCTCGAATCCCCCATCCCCTCACGCTCTGACATTTCTCATTACGAGAGGGCTGTAAACATCGCACCAATTAGATGTGCAGTGCAGAGAGAAATAGGAATGAGTCAACATTCACGGCTCGATGAATGTTCCTCTCCAAGATTTAGATTTTAGAGGCAGGCTTTAGGGCTGGGGCAAACGTGGGGGTGAAACATTTTCTATCTTACGAGGGCCCCCTTAATATTTGCTTTTAGAATACCGCTTCTGCACCGGAATTCAACCAAGATAGCTCTTCATGCTACATTTCCAAATTTGTTTTGGAAACTGCGCTTCCTCTTTCAAAGCCCCCGTACATTAAGGAGATTGCATCAAATCACCGGGAAAGCTTGATAGAGAGGATAGCTAGCATCATGGAGCAGAGGAGTTTTGCTTGATCAGATTCAAGCAGCCGATTCTCTCTCTCGATCGTCTCCAGCTTGTCTCTCAGTCAGACATTTACAAAATTGATGGTTAGGAATCGATGGGAGGTTCTATCAAGGGTTTGCAACATGACCCCCTTCTGTAGTGCTACCATGTTTTTCAAACAATTGTAATAAATAAGCTCTCCAGAGTTTCACTTTGACTTCATATTCTACTGTTTTTCAATGTTGATTTGGGCATAAAGATCTTCCCTGGGAGCTGATTTCACAGTGAAGGTTCCTTATTTTTTCCCCCGAAGTACAAGGAAGCCATAACATGGTCCAGATTCATTGTGTAAAAGTTAAATTTTAGGGTAGGATTTCGAAATTCAGAGGACAGAACTTACTGAGAAGTATCTACACTTGGGTGTCTGTGCATTGGTTCCACACACAAATAGCGTGTTGTTTTCTGCAGGATTCGTCTGTAAAACTTCGATGAAGTTCTGGCATTCCCACTGTTCGATGCCTTTCATCAAACAGTTCTGTATCGTCTGAAATTCGGAAGACCATGTGTAGTTCTGAATACCCTGTTGATACAAAAAAGAATATAAGAACAAAACAAATTATGAAGAGGCAATGTCTTACATATACATTGTTCTATTTTCTTAATAAAGATGCCATTTGCTAAAAACATTCATAATCGTCAGAGGGTCAACATACTATGTCTCATGAGTCATGATTATTGAATGTTTGCCCATCATTTGCCAATTCAACAAATTTTTCCCTCTGAAATTTAAAATAGAACAATGCCAATTTGCAACAGCTGACGGCTTTGAGGAACCTCAACTGCTGTTCATGATTTTAACAAATTTTGGCACTTTCTATTGATTGTTCCCTGAATATCGGATATGGTTTTATGCGGAACTAGTTTTATGCCAAAAAAAAACACCAAAAAGTTCAAGGTATACATTGTAGATCTTCTTTAACTGATTCCTTTTACACAGACTTTAAAGAAATACTGCTTAATTAAAGGAAACAAAAAATTGTGGTTTTTATAGGCAGGTTGTTTGTTTGTCTATACTCAACAAAACCTGATTATAAAGACCACTTATAAGCAGGACAAGGAAATCTGTCATCAAAGGTACACATAGCAGATTGTAGATGTTCTTTAACATGTTCCTTTTACATTTTTACACAGGTTTCAATGAAACACTGCACAAAGGAAACAAAAATTTTGGTCTCTACAGGCAGGTTGTTTGTCTGTCTGTTTATAACAGGTGGGTTTGCAGGCTGGAGTGATCACTACGTGTAACGTACCTGTTTGCTTCCCAGTGGCTCGTCTAAGTTGATGATATGAAACGAATTCTGTGCTCCGACCATCAGCAACCTCCGCTCACTGTTCAACGTCATGGCACCAAAGTGTTGCCCTTGGAATGATCGCAAATCTGGAAAAGAGACAGAAAAAAAAAACACATGGAAAGTTAGTTGGTGTATTTTAAACCTTACTATATTCAGAAGTTTGAGGGGAAAAAGTGTAATCACTTCAGCAGTGTAGAAATGTGTGAGTTAGATGGGACATTTTTTAAATGAACTGTAGTGAGACTCAAAAATGGAATGTAGTTGTAGATATTAATTTGTTTTTCATTTAACAAAATTATCAAACACTCACCCAACTGACTACAGTATATCTTGTATGAGAACAGTAAATTGTTCAATACATCTTTAACTCAAATGACTGTTATATAATTACAAGTAATAATTGAGCAGGAAATTGCTGTAAAAAAGCAAAATAAACTTAATGAAAAGTGCCTGAGGCTTTAAATAAAATTTAAAAATACAGAGATTCATATGTGCATGTAAATGCTGTTCAATCTGCCCTCCCCAAACAGTTACAGAGGGTTGCCTTCAAATGTAATTGGGGTCATGGGGATGAAAAATGCAATTATTGATTTTGGATGTCATGAATATTTTACTCTCATGTTCCATTCTTCATCGTATTGGAATTGACTGAAAACATGAATTATTTATTTCCCCAGCCACTCTCCGCCTCTCCACAGGTAACGAGTTTCATTCAGAAGAATAACACTGTGCCAAAGACAGCCTCCCGCTCGATGAGTTATTTAAAGGCTTCTCTCCAAATGAATGACTTGAAGTTATGAGGTGTGAAATTGGGGAAAATAAAGGAGAAGCAAAGAGAAAAATAGCGATTCTTTCCGCAATATGCCAATTGACCACGCAATGACCCCATACATATAAATTGCACCGTTAGTCAGGCTAGGAATAAAAATATGCATTTGGAATGGGATATTATTATTCTCTAAACCAAGGTGTCGATTAAGGTGTAGAGAGAGATTCCATTTTGTTTGTGGTTGGTAGAATTTTCCAAGAAAAATATGTGATGCCATTTAGCCAAGCTGTGTACGAGGGAGTACGGCTTGCATAGAAATGCATATTTGCTTACAATCATACAGCATTAATAATTCAAATTTATGCTTCAATTTCGTGGAGCGGATGACTCATCTGAGGCTTATACCGCAAACAAACCATTAATCAATCTCACTCTCATCCACTCTCATCCGCTCCGCTACAAGCCTCTCGCTTTCATCTACCCTCTCCCCTCCCGTCAACACTAACACGTCTACATTGCACTCTCTCTCTCTTTCCCCAAATCAAGGAGTTCCCTCTCAATATACAAATGTGTACAATTTAGCTCATCATCTAGGGGGCACAGTTTAGAATTCATTCAGTTCTCACAGAGAGTTTCGTCTCTCTTATTGGATTATTGAGCGACTATCGCGGGATGCCTTTTGACTGCATCTGTAGCGAATCCCTCAATGGATCTCACAGTAAAACAGATCAATAGTACGACACATGTCGAATGCCCTTTTATTCTCTCTAGATCAATGAGGAGCTGAAGTGTGCATCATTTAAATACACTCTTAGATAAGCTTAGGGTTAATTATTGATGTTCTTGTCACATTTGTACGCTTCGCATGAGGGACATTCAATGAAAGACCCTAGGGGCGGAAAAAAGTTGAGTTAAGGATTACAAAAACATGACTCTTTAGATAAGATAAAGGACAAAGGACATTGGTTTAAAGAAAAAGAAGATGATGACCGCTGAGAGCTTGGAGGGCGTCGCCTCTATCAAGATGTGCATGATTTAACATCCTAGAAGTTCTAGCTTTCAGTAGGCAATATGCAAACATGTTATAGACATACAGACAAATATCTAGGGAGAGGGGGAAGAAAGAGAGAAAGAGAGAAAGAGAGAGGGGGAAGAAAGAACGAGAAAGAGATAGAGAGGGGAGAGATAGAGAAAGAGAGTGAGGGAGGGAGAGAGAGAGAGAGGAAGAGAGGGAGAGAGAGAGAGGAAGAGAGAGAGAGAAAGAGTGAGAGAGAAAGAGAGTGAGAGAGAGAAAGAGAGTGAGAGAAAGAGAGTGAGAGAAAGAGAGTGAGAGAGATTGAAAGAGATAGAGAGAAAGAGAGGAAGAGATGGAGTATACAATGGAGCATGAGAAATAAAATAACATTAAGAATAAACAGACAAATAATTCAAAACTTAAGTGAGTAGAGGTACGAATGTGATGCAAAGACATATGTGAAGGTATTCCGAAAGAAGAAGAAAGGGAAACGGTTTGCAATCTTTGCATTCCAAAGACCACAGTCCCGTGTCCTAGAAACTTGGCTTTGCACATCTATGCATCTCAACCTTTGGTGCTAATATTCAAGCCTAGCTCGTCCTTGTGTACTTAGTACACAGCCTAGGGGTATTGTCATGTTCACTGGCAGGGATAATACACTAGACTCTTTGGCCGCGTCGACTCAAGTCTCAAGAACATCTCACAAGATTCACATTACAAGCAACGGAGAAAGAAACCAGAAGCTTCGATCTTTGCGACGTTTCTGTCACTCTTGAAAGTCAAACATAAGTAATCAATGCCAAGATTTCCTCTATTGGAGTCATTTTATTTGACAAATCAACTTATATAAATAAAATTCATTGTACAAGATAAAATTGGTAAACAATGAATGAATATACCGTTAACAGACAACACAAGAAAATACATGTATTGCATTTCTAGGGTATTCTCCAAACATTGTTTAGTTGACGTCATGCCCTAAAAAAATTGACTTTTCCATTCTCCTTTCATATGTACCGGACATGGGTTAACAAAATAATAACTGTCATTTTCATTTGGTAATGAAAACATTGGATACAAGGAAATGATGCAGCTGTACTAACACAGCAGATATACAGAGGAAACATTTAGGAACTGTTTTTGCCACTCAACAATGGCAATAATAACATCAAATGTCTTGGCAGAGCTTTCAATTGCTTAGATAACTGCTCCATTGAGGAAGGAAAAAAGTTGTTGTTGGTTTTTATGGCGTTTTCCATCGTCGTTTGATGATTTTCGCCAAAAATGAATAGTAAATATGTCCCTTCAATATATAAGGTAGAACCCTCAGTTTGTTTTAAATGTTCCATTCCTCTTTTGTGCCAGAATTTGTCAATGGTGTTTAAAGTCTATTGAACTTGGCCATCATTCAGCAGAGCCAGCTTATTTGATCTTCTATAGACCTCTTTTAATAAACTATGTTTAAATATGCAACTCATGAACAATGACTAAAAAGTACATTGACACAATTACATCATATGTTTATACTAGTATGCTTTATTACTCAAGACAGGTGCCATACAGTATAGCTACACTTGCAAACAACTAAGGTAATGTTTTCCTTATTACTCCTCATAATACTGTTACCACAGTTATCGTCATGCCGAAATTCAATATCTTGAACATTTTGGTAATGAATGAATGAATGACAGATTAGCTAACACATTCTGCCTAAAAGCATTTCAAACATCACTAATAAATTTGTAATACTAGAGTATCAAATAACTCTATATTAGACATTATCGGATTATCCCCAGTCGAGCTAATCCTCCTCTCACATGAATATTAATACATTTTTGATACAGTGAAGTTGCAAGGCCGCCTCCTATTGCTTCCTCTCTGGATAATTAAATGTCAGCCTCGTCCCGATCGATAGTGGATATTGATTTTCCCCTTCCTGAGAGCAATTTGGTATTAATACAGTGAAAAGGCAGCTAGAAATTCATATAGCTGTTAAGCCCGATATTAATAAAATTAGATAAATGAAAGCTTTAAGCTCATGCTTTATTTGTAGAAGATGGGAATGTGCTATGATGATGTAAACCATTTATACTTGTTTATTTTTCATGTGTGTTGGGGAAAAGTGCACTTTAGTAATTCATACATGTATTCTGATGCCCTGATTGAACAACATGCAGCATGTCTTGCACAGAAGGGCTTTCACACTGCAGCGAACTATATGAGATAATGCCCTTCTGGCTGCAAACAGATGCTACCAAAAAACAAACAAACATGTATTCCCTAGATTTTAACCGACCTTTTGGCGCCCCCTTTCGAGAGTTCACCAGCCAGATGCATATGATGAAGCAATGCCAAGAAGCAAGATGGGAGTGGTTCATATCCGTCTCAAAACTCCTTGCCAAACTCTCTGATCTCATAGAGGGATGCATCGTTTTATCTAACATTAAAACTGCAACACTCTTCCGTTCACATTTGCCAGAAAACTCTACATTCATTTTCCTGAACCCACTTCCTCTTTGAATTAATCATAATCAATGCTAAGAACATGGAATGAAAAGGGGGGGGGGGGGAAGGAGCTATAGACGTAAAAAAGGATCTTCTCTCAGATGGACATGGCTTGAAATTTAATTACAATGATTACAGAACTGATGTATATCAAGAATCCGGCAGTCCTATAATCGATGGAAGTATAGGCCTATTAACATTCCACACAACTTCTAAAATCCTATCAAAGTTCTTCATAACTTTCTTGGCTCAATAAACACTGTTTTGCATCCTATATACGCACACCCATAATGCAATGCAACTTTCTGTTTACACCAACATGCAACAACTGAGGTCCACAACTCCCGCATCTTTTCAGGGTTGTTTTCGTGTTGACCCATGCAATTGGCTGAAATTAAACAATGCCCTCTTTAAATTTCTTGAGTACTTTTCTCCCGGAGTTCACAGACCATACACAGTAGGACCTGTTGTAATTGTAAACAGTCTCCAGTGCATAGAGCCTGCATAATGATTGGTTGAAGAGGCTTTTCTGTGGAGTGTTACTTCATTGTTCAAAGAACCTCTGAATAGTACTCCCTTCAGGCTAGTCATCTATCAATGCAAGATTTTTTTTCTTCCCTCTTTTTTCTTTTTCTTCCTTCTACACAAACTTTAAATCTCAGAGGCCTTGCACAGGCCACTAGAATAGGCGCATAAACAGAGTTTACAATGGCAGGTTTACTTAAAGCAGTAGTTCCAGTGAATACGATTGAGTTCGTGCTTTGTGATTGACTGTTTCTGAATAGAACAACTAACAC